TTCCGTTTCGGGCGAATAATGGCCACGGACTTATTGGCACTGCGAGTGGAGTGGATTCCATTCCGCCCCAGAGCCTTCCAGTGTGGTAGCGGCCCCTCCGCGCTTCCTTCCCTCGGCCGCGCTCGTCGCGCTCGCCGCGCTTCGGCGAAAAGTAACACCTCTCGAGCGGAAGTGGGGTGCACTGTATGTGCCTCACGGTGTGCATGATCCGCACTGGGAGCGCGGACTGGCGCGGACGCGCGGACGGCCACAATGCCATTGTAGGAAATCCGCTGCGGGTGACGCATGCAGTGTAAGCCGCTTCGCCGCTTCAGTCAAGTACCTCCGGCCTGCCCTGCTCGCCCGGCTCCAGGTTTCTCGCACAGCGCAGCGATGCCGTGCTATGCGCTGCCGGGCTGCACACCGCATCATGCCCAATGGGGCGCGGACGATCCACTCAACTCACAAGGGGTTGGCACCGCTGGCACCGCTGGCACCGCTGGCACGGCCACAAAGGCGCAGGGCTCGCAGGGCACGGCAAGGGCCACGGCCGCGGACTGATTCCGAGACTCGTTCGTCCCTCTCCCACAAATGGGGGACGTCCAGCGCGTGCGAGAGAGACAGGCCACGACTCTCGGGATCAGTCTGTGGTAATGCGATTACGGCCAGGGTGCGTGGGAGGGGCGTACGTACGGACATTCCCCACAGCCGGTCGTCGCCGGCCGGCTAATATTGATGATATTATTATCCGATCAGGCCCCCGGCAGCCACGGCACGGCAGCCACGGCAGCCCTGGGAAGTCGCGGCCCCGCGACAGCTGCTCGGGCAGATGCCGCGCCGCCTCGTCAATAATTTCCGCAGCGGTCAAGCGAGTGTCCCGCACGCGTGCCGTGCCGTGCCGCACCGCGCACGCGATAAGTGCCCCCGGCCGGCGCCGAGTGGGTTATTCATGGCGAATCCGCGCCTCCCTTCGGTGCCTTCGCGCTTCGCATTAGCGCAGCCATGGCGCAGCCGGCCCACAGTGGGCCAGAAGACCGGTGGAGCGGCCAAAATTCGAGACGCGTTTTGAGCTCCAGAGTCGCTAAGAGGGACACCAACCGAACGTGTGACCTCACCAATGGATTCCTCGTTCGGAGAGCAATCCATTGGTGGGGTCACACGTTCGGTTCGAGTCCCATTTAGCGACTCTGGAGCTCAAAACGCGTCTATTATTTTGGCCGCTCCGCCGGTCTTCTGGCCCACTGTGCGAGGTGACCGAGGCCCGCCGGAGACAACCAGGCGGCGTGGGCCGCCACATCACAGTCTTCGGACGCGTTCTGCTGTCCTCGATCCAACCCGCTGCGTACCACTGCGCACACACCCAGAAAAAAAATCAAAACAGTGTGAAAACACGTCGCGTCTGTCGTTACAACCAAGTGCAAACAGAAGCAAAACAGAAATCGCAGCTCGCTGCGCTGCGAATGCTGCAAAGTTTTATACATGTAGTACACGGAAACACACGCACGCACAAAAAAAATGACGACCAGGTCGGATTGCTGGCAGAGGGAGCGCGCAGCACTCCACTGATCAAAGTCAAGTCGCAAGCTTGTCACATGTCAGTCCGTCAAAAAGAGAAATCATGACAAAAAGGTGCTGGCCGGGGTGCTGTGGAGGGGGGACGGGGTCCTTGCGACGAGTCCCGTTGATCCTGAACGCGCTCACACACAGGACAGAAGCGTTGCGTGCGTGCGTGTGTGTGTCTGTGTGTGCGTGACAAACAACACGGACACGCAATGGGAGGAATCAAAAGATTGAGCTCCGCGTGTCCCGCGTGAACCCGGGATTACAAGCGATTTGAGTGAACCGAGTAAACGGAGCCCCGGAGAGTCGCGGCGCGAAACGCGAAGCCTGCGCTAATCCCGCGCAATGGCCCGCGAAATGGACAAATCGCCGCGACCGGCACGGACACCGTGAAACAGAGCAGCCAACTCTATCCCGTTTCAATATTCGGCCCTCCCGCTGGGCCAAGGCTTCGGCACAAACACGCGTAATGACAGAAACTATCGGATAATGACTGCGCGTGCACACACACACACACACACACACACACGTGTACATCTGGAGTCTAGTTACTACAGCAAATAAGCCTCCGTGCCGTTGACATGCTAATCGACAGAAAAGTCCCTCTAATTCCCGCTTCCTTTGCGCGCGACGGTTTTTGCGCGGTTTCGCCAAACGAAACGCAAATACTATACTGTGTATCCGATGTCAAGCGCACACATACACACACGTGCGGACACACACACACACGCACACACACAAGCGCGCGCCGCTGCTGCTGCAGCGTCGTGTTGTTACACAATGCTTGTAAATATTTTATACAAACGAAGCATCGTGTTATTGTTTGATGGAAAAGACCGCGGAGGGGATGATGGAACGGCGAAAGGGAGCGGGGAGGGGAGGGGGAGGGAGGAGGGGGAGGGCCTGCAGCAGTCGTCATGCAGTCCCTGACGTCTTGTTTTGTTTGCAGGGGGTCCGATTGGGCTGATGGAGGGGGAGGGGAGGCGATTTGTACTTTGTGTGACAATGCTCGGTCATTAATAGGGCTAAGCCGCGGATTAAGCGGCCAGCAGCACTGCGCGATATTCCGCGCAGTCGTGCGTCTCTTTCTCGCGCACGCAGGACTGCGCGGGGCGCGAGTGTACGAGAGAGACGACCGCAACTGCAACAGCGCACGACGCTTCACGACGCGACCAACGCGACACGGAGGAGACGGCAGGGGTGGGCGGCGGCGGGATGTTCTTCTGTGCCACTCTGTCGGTGCGCGAGCGTTCAAGTCACCATCACTGTGCGGGGTGCGGGTCGACATGGACTCAGCGGGGATCGAACGTCGAACCGCTGCGCCAGCCCGCGCGCGCGCACCCCAGCGCACACCTTCAGGGCAAGCCTCCGGAATCCTGGCGCAGGAGCAGGGCCAGCAGCAGGGCCAGCAGCCCCAGTTTTCCCCCGTTGTGAGATAACTTCCCCGAAGTTGTCAAAACGCACTGCTAATGTGGGGAGACAAGCCCAGCCCGGGGCAGCCCCCGCAGCCCCAGGCCGGCCAGCCACACGGCCAGCCACACGGCCAGCCACACGGCCAGCCCGGCCCCCGCGATGCAGCGATGCTGCGCGGGAAGTCCGTGCCAGTCGTGCCAACGGACGGCACGCACGCCAACGACAAGGTGCGGTCAGCCTTCCTTTTCAAAGGTTTTCCATTGCAATGTGCCGTGCCGTGCGTGCCTTGAACTGGCGTGCCGTGCGTGCCTTGAACTGGCGTGCCGTGCGTGCCTTGAACTGGCGTGCCGTGCGTGCCTTGAACTGACGTGCCGTGCCGTGCCGTGGCGTGCCCAGCCCAGCCGGGCTAATCCCAGGCCGGACGGTCATACGGCTGGCCATATGGCCATGCAAACCCTATTGTCTTGGCCAGGCCGGGCACCGGTACTCGTAGGGTCTCGGACGCAGCAAGGGTGCAACGAACTCGGCGCGGGGCACTCGCAAAAAATGCCTCAAAAAGAAGGCAAAATACGAGAATTTGAACATAGCAAACGCTATGGAGTGGCTCTAAATTCGACCGATGTGAAGCCAAAGTTTCGTTTTTCTGGATTTTTTGTTTCATCGAATCCATCAGTGCATCGCTGCACCGCTGCCCATTTGGGCGAGGGGCGTTCTCAGAAGCCGGTCCTGGGGCAGTCCACGCAGAGCGACGCAGAGCAGCAGAACAGAGCGGCCGGGCTGGGGATCCCCGTCCTGCTGCAGGCCCTGCAGGCTGAACAGCGCTCTCGTCGCTCTGTCTCTCTCGCACCCGCGAGGTGGGCCGTGGGGTCGCGACAGAGACGGAGCGCTGGCTGGTGACCTCGTGGCCTGCTGGCCCGGCAGGTGAACGGCCCCGCGGGAGGCAGCCCAGCCAGTGCACCACCACGCTGCACCACGCTGCACCCCCGCGCCACGCCAGGCCGGACCATCTTTCTCGCACGTATGGGGCGTCCCGTGTGGGTGCGAGAGAGACAGAGCCCCGGCCGCGCTGTGCGGAATCACCCTGCAGGCCGCCCGTCAGGTCAGTGGCTCTGTGTCTATCACCAGCAGGTCGTCGCTCAGGCGGGTATCGGTATCGCCCCTTTTGCAATGTGAGTCACGAGGCGCTGCCGGGCGCTGCCTTAGGCCCCGGGGTGGCCCACTCGTTTCCACCCCCGCGGCGGCGTTGCATTGCGTTGCATCAGCGACATTCGGGCGGCAGGGAAGCGCAATGTGAATGTGTGTTTGGCACTGCCGCCTTTCCCCGCATTCCAGTGCCGCGTCTGTGACGCAAGGCGGGCGTGTCACAACACATCCGGCGCCACGCACACACGCACGCACACACCCACACCCACCTCCGGGAATGGGGGCATTTGTGTGCAGCGTGGGTGATGCGCAGAAAGGATTGGGGCGATAGCGCGAGAGCTTAGGCCCATTGTGGCGCGCATCTGGCGGCGCGGTTCGAGTTTCGCCTGTGTTTCGCCCCCTTCCCCTCCTGCCAGGCCGTGCCTGCCAGGCCCGCATTCAAGCGACTCAAGGTGTGCAAATAAAGGCCCAGATAGGCGGCGTGATAGCGAGGCCGCGAGTAGCACTCGCTGGCTATAATTGCCTTTTTTCCCGAAACGGCAGCCGTGCTCGTTTCGCTCTGCAGGGTAAACACCGATACAGCAACACAAAGAGCTTCCAAAAACAAGGTGTTTGTTTGGCTTCCGAGAGCGAGAGAGACCCACGCACGAAACGCGCGAAAACCCCGGAGCGGCCGCCTCCGAAAGCACTGCGAAGCACGCCGTCGCCGTCCTCCTCCCTCCCGGGGAACTTGAAGCGGCGGCCCCGCGCGCACGCGGCCGTCCTGGCCCCTCCCACCCGAGCCGCGCTCCCATTGGTCCGCAGCGGGCCACGCGCAGCGCCCCCGGCGGCCGCCGCTCGAACTAGTGCCGCCCTGGACGGGGCTGCTGCGGCGCGCCGGCTGGCTGGAGGAAGGAGAAGTTCGTCGTGTTCTTCAGTCGCCGCCAGCCAGCCTCTGAGAGTGCATCGAGCCCAGCGACAGCTACCAGAGTGATCTCAGTGTGAATCGTGCGACGTGTTCGTGGCCATGGAGTACCAAAGCCAGATCGCCGCGGCGGCCGCGGCCCTCCCGCCCCGCCAGCCAGTGCTCAAGTTCAGCATCCGTGCCCTCCTCGGCGAGGACTTCGACAGTGACGTGCCGCGCGCGCCGCCCACGCCCACGCCGAGCCCGTCGCCGTCCAGCGAGGGCGAGTCCGAGGACGCCCGCAGCACGGACACCGACCACACCGACAGCGACAGCAGTAAGGCCGGCAAGCGCCCCGAGAAGCCCACCTACTCGTACAACGCCATGATCATGCTCGCCATCCGCAACTCCCCCGAGAAGCGGCTCACGCTCAACGGCATCTACGAGTACATCATGACCAACTTCCCGTACTACCGAGACAACAAGCAGGGCTGGCAGAACTCGATCCGCCACAACCTGTCGCTCAACAAGTGCTTCGTGAAGGTGCCCCGCCACTACGACGACCCCGGCAAGGGCAACTACTGGATGCTGGACCCCAGCGCGGACGACGTCTTCATCGGCGGCTCCACCGGCAAGCTGCGCCGCCGCACCCCCGTGAACCGCAGCCGCATCGCCCTGAAGCGCGCCGCCGCCCTGGCCGCCGCCAACGGCACCCTCTGGTTCCACCCCGCCGGCCCCGTCGGCCCCCACATGGCCCCCGTGATGCCGATGCCCCAGAGCCACGCCGCCAACCCCCTGCGGGTGCTGACGCCGCCCTCCTCGCCGCCGCAGCACGCGTACCACCACCAGTACCCCTCCGCCGTGGCCGCGGCCGTGGCGCAACAGGCGCCCTACTTCGCCGACCGGCCGCAGCTCCACCGAGTGCCTCACCATGTACCCGCCCAGGTGCCCCACCCGCTCTGGCACCTGCCCCACCACCACATGCAGAGGGTGTGAGACTCGGTGCCTCGTATGAAACCTTGTGATAAAAGACTGAGTGCAGTGTGCGTCGGTGAAGCGTAACTTGTGATTCTTTTTCTAGACCTCGGCAAAGGGTTGAAGCATATTTCAGGCGATTTGCGGCAAGGCTGTGATTGTTTTATTACTGATTTTATTTCGTCTCTTGATCTCTGTGTAGGAGGGGTTCTGTAGCTCTTGTCAGCCTAATAATTGGAATTGAATGGATATGTATTGGGACCTTTGATTATCTGGGTTGCCTTATTGATCTCTTTTACATTGTTTACATTTTGATGACAGAACCTGAAAGTCGAGTAATATTTCTTTTATGTATTACCAGTTCAATTAGCGTTATTGTATTGTTAGCTAGAAAAATAATTTTTTAAATGTTTGTTGAATGTGATTGATTTTATAGATAATTATATTTTTTTAATTCACTCTACACAGTTTCCAGTCCTTTTCCTTACCCAATTTACGCTTTAAAAAAAAAGAAAAAAAAGATCTAACAATATGAAGAAAAAAAAGAGAAAAAAGAAAGATTATTACATTTGCAAAGAGAAAGAATGAACATTCAAACACACGCAATTCAAAACTTCTTTTGATCTGACCGAGATTTTTGATATGAAGTATTCACAACAAAACAACAAAGAATGAAAATGGAGATCTTTGCATTTGACATGTAAAGTAGCCAATACACTTCTGTGAACTTGGACACAACAGCCCAGTCTCCGAACGAGCTCACAATAACACAACGTCGGCCGAGTTTGGCCAATGACCTGAATACGGCAACATACACTGCCAACACGCTTCATATGCTCATGTAAAAGGAACTTTAAAAAAAAGAGGAAGCTAAAAGAAGTAAAAAAATATTGGAAACCGATCTGGAATGAATTACATAGAAATGAAGCTGGTTTTTAAAACAGTTGAAATCGGTCTGTGGGGAAACAGCGCCTTTCTACACGAGAACTTAGGGAGACTCGTTTCTTTTTCTGAGTAGAACGAGGGAACGGTTAGCGCAGCGCAGCGGGCGGCGAGCCGAGCCCTCGTCACCGCCGTGACAGGTATGCAGCTGGAAGAAAGTCCGCGCGGTGCAACTCCGAGGGACACTGTGAAAGTTACACTAATTGGAACAAGCGGGTCACCTATACCCTCGCGGACCTGGCCGCCTTCTGTCGACCCACTGTAGGCATTCACTCGCGACGTTTCAGTAATAATCGTTGTTTGATTTGAAGATTTGATTGAGTTCAGTTTGAGGGGCGACAATTTTTTTCTTGCACGCTGTCCCGCCGTGGCGCCGCCCGTGGAGGCTGCAGGACCAAGTTCACCCTCCGAACGCATCCTTGACGGTGAGGGTTGGACAGCCCCTGCGCCCCTTGCATGAGAACAGGAACAGCGGTAAAGTACAGTGCAGTACGTGCACACTGTACACTGTAAGGTTGGTAAGGTGCTGCCGTGCTGCCCCGCTGTCCCGCTTCGCCGAATCAGGCGGTACCGTACAGTAGTGCTGCTGCTGCACTGTTTGGACTGTTCGGACCGTCTCGCCGAACCACTGGACTCCAGCCGGCCCGATTCCGGGCCGATTTCGTGGCCATCGCTCGCTCTCTCTCTCGCACTCATGCGGCGTTGCGTAGGTGTGCGAGAGAGACAGGGCGGCGAAGCACTGTTCGGAATCAGTCTGGACTCCCGTCGCGGCACTTGCTGTGCTGCCCCAAGCCCGGCGGACTGCGATGCACCCCCAGGACTCCCCCAGGACTCACCGCAGGACACGAAGCACCCCGGGCTCCTGGACACCCCGCCAGCCAGCGACCTGCGACCAAGGCAGTGCCCGGGTTCAAGGCGAAACTACGACTCAGTGCCTGCATTACAGGAACGCGCGATGAGTCACAGTGTATGTTTGTGCATGCGTGCGCGTGTGTGTTTGTATGTGTGTTTTTTTTTTTGCTCGCGCTGGCAAAATGCGTGTCGCCAAATGCCCGTCGACGACGCGCCTCGCTTGTCCAGGCGCAGAGACGTTTCGTTTTGTGGCTGCCTGTCCTGCCTTCGCGCAGCCTTCGGAGCTGGACGCGAGCTGGTCGCCGAATTTCCGACCCTTCCCCTTACTCCGTTTTCCAGAACCATTTTTCCGCGCCCTTATTGTGGACGCCCCAGATGCAACAAAGGGCGTCCCAGAACAACAACACTGCTACGCTGTCAGGAAGGGCGTCCTTCGCGCCACAACAAGCAGGCCGTGTCGATGGCCCCGTGGCCGCGCCGTGTGCGCCGTGCCGTGCCGCGCCGCGGGGACGCGACCTTGGGCCATTGTCTCGTCCTAATGTGCCCTTTGCAGCGCCTGCAACGCCACGTCCTTGCTGCGGTGGTCTGCGGCCTCGACGGTGGCCTTGACGGCCTCGATGGCCGAGGCACGCGACCCGGCTCCCACGGCCTTGACGCCGTCACCCGTAGAGGCTTCGACTCGAGGCGGCCCGGCTGGCCCCACTGGGCTGGCCCCACTGGCCACCCCGTGGCGTTGCCAATCGGCAATATTTTCATCGCGGCGCGTGTGGAGTGAGCACACCGAACACACCGTCACATCCGCCGCCCAGTGGAATCATTTGGCCTGCAGGCCGTGCCGCGGTGCCTCGCGGGCCGGCCCACGGCTGCCGACGGCCCACGCACGCAGCCTGCAGGGCGCTGTCCGGTGCTGTCGCGCTGGCGGCGCTGACTCAGCGCGCGCCCCATCCAGCTCATCATCCCTCGCGAAAACAAAACATTTGACAAGCAGCATCGAGCAACATCTTGCGCACCGCTGACGCGTGCGTGCGTGCGTGCGGCCAGGCACATGTGCACCGCGAGCCCAGCCACGGTAAACAAAAGCAATCGCGGCGAAACCGCGAAGAAACTGCCGCGCTGCCGAAAGATTCCGGGGAGTCGTTTCGTCGCTCGGTCTCTGTCGCTCTCATGAGGCCTTCCGTAAGGGGGCGAGAGAGACAGAGCGGCGAGTCGCTCTGCTGTCGCGGTCTGGAGGGCTGGAGGTCTGGATCTGGGCAGGGGAGGGAAGGCAGGGAAGGCCATCGCATCTGCAGATCGGCGTGGGGCTGGCCGGGCTGGCCTAGGCTGCCCGGCCCCAAAGGTGCATCGCCCGCCCAATCGGAAATAGATGTGAATCACGGGAAAAGTTTGCAGAGCCGAGCCTATCCGGCTGATTCAATAGGCAATCCCAAATCAGTCAGTCATGAAGGCTGTGCTGACATCGTGCTGACACTGTGCTGACCGCGCCCACCCGTCCGTCTGCTGCACGCCGTTCCTAGTGTTCCTCTCCGTTGTGGCACTGTTGTGACACCGGCCGTGGCATAAAGCCTCTCCCTGGAAGGGGCCGGGTGGATTCCGAACTGCTGTCTCTCTCGCAACCGAGCGCGACGCCCCGTGAGTGCGAGAGAGACAGGGCGACGAAAGCGCCTGCAGGCCGGGGGCGCGCGCCGCGTGGGTGGCGCAATTGTCCATGTCCGAAAAAAAAATGTAAACTTCCCTCTGTTGCACGGGCCGCGCGGGTGGGAGTGACAAGGACGGCGATGGCCACGGCGCGGGACTACCGGCCATAAAACAGGCACGCCAGACACAGACACCTTGACGGCGAGCACGGCGAGCACGGCGAACTCAGGGGTGGGTGGCGGTGGCGCACCTTGCAGTGCCTTTGCAGCCACTTCGCAGCCCGTCGCTAATTTTACAGCTTGTTTTGGGCATCGTTACTGGGAGGCGGATTGCATTGGACACGCCGACCGCGCCAAAAATAAAGTGCCAAATTAAAACCGTCATTTTTTGAAATTTTTGAAAAGAGGGTGATGCTTGCCGCCTTCCTTGGCGTCGTTGTAGGGTTGTAGGTGCGGCGTGGGACCGACAGCCTGCAGCCCGCAGCGCACCCCTCGCTGGGATAAGCTCTGCCCGCAGTCACAGTGTCGCAGCGCGGGGCTAAAAGGGTGCCAACGCTGCGACCAGCCGCCACACTGCCACACCGGCCGCGGGCCGCGCCGGGCCGCGCTTAGCCGCGCTGCATAGCTGCGGGATTACAGCCACACTGCAAGTCAGTGTTGACTCTACGCGCATTCTGGTGCGGACCACCCCGCGGCATGCCGCGGCCCGGCGGCCCCCGCCCACGGATCGGCGGCCCGGATCGGCCCGGATCGTTGGTTCGCTTTGTGCGGGGCGTGCGGGGCCTGCCGGGCCTGGACCGGCGGGGATTCCCCCACGGATACGACACGAGTAATTCCCATGCGGTGGTGACGGCACCCCGATGCACTTGTTGGTCGCGGCTGGCCGATTCCGAACAGCCCAGCACGGGCCGCCCCGTGAGTGCGAGAGAGACAGAGCGAAGGCAGAACGCACCCACCCCGAAGCGCCGCCCCGCGCCGTCCCGCGCACAGTGGGCCAGAAGCCGGTGGAGGCGGCCAAAACTCTAGACGCGTTTTGAGCTCCAGAGTCGCTAAATGGGACTCGAACCGAGCGTGTGACCCCACCAATGGATTGCTCTCCGGACGAGGAATCCATTGGTGGGGTCACCCGTTCGGTTCGAGTCCCATTTAGCGACTCTGGAGCTCAAAACGCGTCTAGAGTTTTGGCCGCCTCCACCGGCTTCTGGCCCACTGTGCCGCGCCGTCCCGCCGCGACCACCGGCGCTGCTCACCGCACCCATTTCGGCGTCTGGACCGCAGATCAAGCAATAGACCAATAACACGGCGGCGCGGCGGCACCGCGGCCCAGCCGCTCGATTGAGGCGTCGCGACGGGGCCGCCGCGGTGACAGCCGGACACCCACCGCCTTCTAGGAAGCAGGCCGTCGTCCCGCAACGTCGCGCAGGTCCGGCCGGCCCGGGGCAACAAACTGCAAGTGGCTCGCGTCGTCGCCGCTGTCGCGCGGCACGGGTTCGAGTCCCACCACACTGCCGCCGCGCCGTGCTGCGCTTGCTGGTCGCGGTTCCGCCGCGGCGCGCCGCACCTCCAAGCTTCGGCTCGCGTCGGCTCGTTTTACTCGCTGACGCCCTAGGGCCCGGGGCGGCGGGGCGGCCGCGATGACAACGCGCGTGTTTCGTGTTTCGGCCGAACGACAAGTCATCCCCGGGCCGCGGTTCGGCCCGCGGTTCGGCCTGGACGGGACGGACGTTTCCGCGCGCGGTGCTCGCGAGCATGGTGGCCACTGCCCGGCGAATCCCACTCGCCCGTTACGTAAGGCCCACTTTGTTTTCTGCGCTCACGCCGATACACCGGCACAGTAGTATATACATCGATTACACTGGCGACGCCGGCGACGCCGCGCGGGGAAGCCCATCAGGCTGGTCGGCTGGGACTTCCCTCCTGCACAGCGGAAAGGCACACTGCCGCTGAGTTCACTCGGGCGACGCGCGGCGTGTGTGTGTGTACGGCAGTTGTGCAATACAACAGCGATTAGTCGGAGAAAGGGCGGGGATGGGAGGGGAGGGGAAGGCCCGCATGGCTGGCAAGGGCATTATTCACTTACCAACACGATTCATTCAATCAGTATGTGTACTTGAGTTCGGACCGGATGCACCAAGCCGCAATGCTGTTGTGATGGAAGTGAGGAAAAGGGGGGGGGGGGGAGAGACCGCGCGTCCGCCTTTTCTCCGACACCCACATGAGTGCGCCCCTGGCAGTGCAGTGGTAATTATAAATAGTTCGGCCAGCGGTGATTGTATTTTTTGACATTTTCGGGGCGTTTGGGCTGGGACGGTGGGACGTGTTGGCTGGTCGCGAGATGGCGCACTGGATTGGCCGAGACAGCCGCGCCGACCAGCGGCCCACTTTATACTGTAGTGGATAGCGTGAGTGTCCACAGCTCTCCCATTAAGTGCAATTTTCCAATTGAATTTGTCCCGCTCACTTCGCTCTCCAGGTTCATTCTCCTTCATCGCGTCTACAAAGTCGCACTGTCAAGAAGTTTGAAGATCCTGTTTGAGGGTACTTGCTCCGCCCTCTGGCAGTAATCACGCAGAACACGCACCGCTATAGTTGCAACGCGAGGGCGACATCCCGCGAAAGTGACCGCCAAAAACGGTGACACACATCCCTGGCGGGGATCGAACCCGCGACCTTTGGATTAGAAGTCCAACGCGCTTTCCTCTGCGCTACAGGGACAGCTGGCGCTGCGGGGCCCCGGCGGCGGAGTGGAGTGGGAGCGGCAAGGTTGGAAAGCGCTCTTTTCACGGACCTGAGGAGGGCTCTGCCTGCCCGCGGCTGCCTGCCTAGCGACTGTACGACTGTGACTCGCTGCGCAGGCCGCGTGCGCCGTGCACCGTGTGCCGTGCGCCGTGTTGGCAGGCAACCCCACGGGCAGCCCGCGAGAGGCTATTTCGGGAGCCGAAGCCGAGGCTTGTAGCCCACGGCTGGCCACGGCGCGGGGCTTTGCCCTGCGGTGCCTGGCGTTGCTCGCGGTGCGTAGGTCGCGGCCGGCCGGACGGTCAGTCACTCAGACAGCCCCAGGCAAGTCAAGCAACGAGTCCACGGCGCTACGCTACGCTACGGCAGCCACGCCGGCTATGCGCCACGCCCACACAGTGCCACGCTGTGCCACGCTGTGCCACGCAGCCTGCCATTCATTCATTGCGACCACTCAGTCACCCAGTCACCCATTCACTCGCACAGCCTCGCAGCCCAGCCACTCAGACCCAGGCATAGGCATTTCCGGTCTCTCATTGAATGTGCTCTGGTATCTTGCCAGCCTAAATTTCTGCGAGGCTGCCAACCTATTTTGAATTTTTGTGAGTGACTGTACCTGCTAAGATGTGTTGTGGCCACATGAGTTCCATGGCGACTTTCTTATCGCGAGGATAAAGGTTTAACGCCTTCCAGAAGGAAAATACTTTCCAAATTTAATATTACGACAGTTGGTAACCCTGAAGCGGTATGGACGGACTTCCCTGCGCGACGCGGAGACGCCCTGACGACGGCGGACGACGGCCTTCCCCCGTCGGCCCATCAGCTGCCCACGCACCGCACGAACGAACACATCCGCCTCGGCACGGAACCACAACGAACCCGCGGCGACCGACACCACTTTTTCAGTGCGACGAAGGCTGTTCCTAAAACCCGGTTTCTGGTTTGAGCAGAGCTTCACTGAGGAAGACGGAAGTCTGATGGGTTGCCTGCCTCCAAGGCGGTTGCCGCCGTCACTCTGGAGCCATTTGACTGCCCTCGCCTCGAAAGGAAAGTTTGCCAGAACACAAGGGGCACCTACGGGCACCTAGCCTGCCTCCAAAGCTTTTGCATCAGGCCGAAAACACAATCTGCGGATTAAAACTCGTTGAAGCTGATGGCTAAGAGCAAGCTTGTGTGAAGCGTGCAAGGCGTGGCAGCGCGGCGCCCTCTTTGTTTGCATCAAAAGGCGCCACTGTGATTGTTATATGGAGCGTTATGGGTCGCTCCCTTTTATGCTGAAGGCGTGCACGCACTCTGGGCAGCCATGGCAGCAGGTCCCAGTGTTTTCATGTTTTCATGCTGCTGCTAGCAAAATGAGCAAAAGGCTTCTGTGGTTACAGCCGGCAAACAGCTTGCCTTCTCGGAACGCGTAATGCCGAGCGAATCCCGGCCACCGGCTGCGAGCCACTGCAAGCTGCGACGGGCCGAAAGGGTTGGGACGCGCTGCCGTCTTGCTGGTACAAAAGGTCCAGTTAGGGAGAGGCTGGGGCCGCGGCGACGCGGCGACGTCCACGCAGGTGAGCGCGCGTGCGGGTGGGTTCCAGTTCCTGAGAGGCGCGCTGTAGGGCGCAGACGAGCCTGAATCGGCATTAGATCCTCCCTGAGCTAGCCTTTCATGTTCACGTCCATGTGTGCGTGCCCCCTGTCTTCTTCTTCTTCTTCTTCTTTTCTTCTTCTTCTTCTTGCAAGGTTTGTTCCCATGAACGGCCTTGCGGTACCAGGGCAGGATAAAATCAGATAAAATTACGACCCCCAAAAAAGGCGGCAGAAAGCGGCGCCGCCTGCCGCGCTGCCGCGTGGTCCGGAGGACTAAAAGAGCAGCGAATCGGCGGCCCCGCGTCAAAGGACGGCGGCGGCACTCTCAAGACAAGACGGATAGGGGCGGCTGAGCGCCAAGGCATGTTGCACCTTTCGTGAAGGTTTTATTGGCTCGATTATGCTTAAAAGGAATATTGACAACAAAGGGAAGCCGAGGCGATTGGGGATCGGCGCCCTTTCGCGGCTGGATGGCGGCACGGCGGGGCCGGACGGCGTCTGCCGCTACCGGCGAACGGTGAGCCAACAGTAGCCCCGGAGTGTGTCAAGGTGTCTGGGGCCAATTTGGGCTTCGGCTCGCTACAAAGGGGGCAGCAGTGTGGGAAATGTCCCCGACGGCGGTCTGCCGGTCTTCCCTCTGGACCCGAGCCTTGGGGGGGGGAGGTGTGGTGCTTGTGGTTCAGCCCAGCCGGGTGGAGCGGCAACGTTGGCGCGGCTTCCCTTAGATCCTTTCAAGAGCTTGGAGTGAGCGGGTCGGGTCCCCGTGGTGCCGCGACACGATGTGAATATTAGCCAACGCGACTGCCATGGGCTGCAGGCACTGGCAGGCCCAAGTCATCCCCCCCCCCCTCCCCGGGCCATTCCTCATTTTGACACGAGGCTGATGGGCAAATAAAGCCCGTCCCTTTGAATCGGACTGGCAGGGACAACACTATCAACGGATGCGGGCGGGGCCGAGGACGACAATGGGCGCGGAGCCTGGCGGAGCCCAACAACACCAACACCTGGGGCACCTGAGCGGAGCCATGCGGAGCGCGTCCCTAAGGTGCAACAGCACAGCACCGGTACGGCCGCCCCCGCCCCGCCGGCTCAAAGCGCTCAAAGCGTCGCCGCCGCGTGTAAATAAACACGGCGGCGGCCTGTGGATTGATTCGATTCCGAGGGTCATTTTCGTTGGTCGATCTCTCTCGCACTCACGGGACATCCCTCATGGATGCGAGAGAGACCGAGCCAGGAAAACGAGCCTCGGAACGGAATCGGTCTGCTTGGGGGCGGGGCAGTGCAAGGGCAGTGCGGCGAAGCAGCAGCGACTTGACTCGCCCTTTGTCGAAACGGCTCCATTCTCGACACGTGAAGCGACCGACAAGTCCTCCCCGAATGTCATCAAAACCCGACCCAGTGAGCTCTCCCCAGGTACCCTAATAATAGCAACTTAGATTTGTTTTGAATTAATGTGTGTGCAGTGTTGGTCGAGAAAGAATAAAATAATAAGCATATGGGCTGATACGTCGAAGACATTTATTCCTTTTGTCATAGAGTTGGAGTCTGTTGTGATGCTGATGACACAAATTAATACTGAAGGATATCCCAGGACAGCAAAGAGATCAATAGCTTTCAGACATTTCATAACACAAAGAATTGAAACCAATCTTTAAAGTAGGTGCTAAAATGAACACTGCTTTTCCAAGGCAAAAATGCACCACAATTTAAAAAAAACAAACCAAAGAAAAAACAAGCAAAAAAAAAAAAATGCTCACAGTTGAAATTGATATTTTGCAGTGAGTGAAGAAATAGTACACATGGAATAGAACACAAGTCTAAAATCTTGCTCAATTGCTTTAAAAACCATCACACTGTGGAGGGTTGGCAAATGCAGCACCAAAATCAGTGTCTTAATTATCTGTGCATCAAATACCCAACATTAGACATTTGTAGAAGGCAAGACTACATTGGAAATTACTTAAAAAATTGAAATTAAAATGCATTGAAAATTATCGGAAGAATGAAACATAAAATTACTGTAGACCCTGAAGATATTACTGACACAAATGAGAAGCAATTAATCATGACAAACTATGATGAATTCCTTCCCATCTCTGGCAAATCACAATTACTTGTATTAATAAGATTGATTGATTAGCTAATTAACAACTATGGTTCGATTCGGATAAGGAATGTGACTCCAGAGTATCCTCATACGCAGACTTCTTCTCTTTTACCTGAGGGAGACAGATTTCGAGTCAAATATAATGAAAACAATGTTTAGAATAGAGAAATTGTAGGAGAGATATGACTTGCCTCAACACTCCCAGAAGATTCTATTTCAGCCTCCACAGCAGAGCGCTTTCTATTGCTTGATGAGCTACCACTGCTGCTGGCCTAAACAGGACAGAACAAAAACAGGTCAGATTTCAAACAAGCCTTTTAAAAAAATGGGAGTATATTGTACAGATCAAGGGAAAGAAATTACCCGGCTAAGGGGGCGGTCTCTACTTGAATCATCTTCAGTTTCAGTTGATGACATGGCTCTGCCACTACTATCCCCAGCTTCCATGGACTTTTTGAGCAATGAGCCCAACTTACTCAGCACAATTGGAGGATCTGAAAGAGGAGTCAATGCACAACTAAACCTTACGGAGCTTTTGTAATTTAATTTTAGGAGGGAATTTTACTTTTGATTACACATAAGAAAAGAAACATGGTCATATTTTTGAAGGTACGTGGTCCTGCCATTCACTTCTCATCCACATCCAAACCCAACCCGGACCATGTCTTTCCTTTGTTTAACCTAATTGGCTGTGAGCAGAAGGGTTTGACAGGACCACACACTGACAAAACAGGTCTGCATTACTGCCATGGCACTGTCATGGGAGGAATAATACTTACCCTTCTGAAGAGATTTATTTTGACTGCTTCTACCATTTTCCACTTTGGACAATGTATTACCACCGGCACCTATGATGGAGATAGATTTCTTTGAGACACTTTGAAATAAAGACTCAAGTAAGAAATAGGTTTTTAATATATTTACCAGATTTGTCGCCATGTCCAGCAAGAGCAGCAAATGATGCCGATAACCGACTAGCCACTAATGCTTCAACAGCAGTTGATGCAGAAGGATATGCTACAGTTCTATTGCAACTAATTAGGTGAGTAGCTGAAAAAAGAATGAATAGATCAAATGAGCACTAGGATAATAAATTATGAAGAAGATAGCAAACGGTTGGCTGCCTCATGGCAGTACATTAAAACACAGTTTCACTAATAAAATGTTCACAAACCTAGCACATTGCCATCTCTAGCCTTGAACCCACACATACAGTGCATTGCATTTGGGAGGGGTACAAGAGGTGCTGTTCGAATAGACCCAGGCCTACATCCTCCAGGATGAGTCCTTACATTACCTAATGAATGTTTCTTCATAGCTTTAGAGCAGCATGTGCAGAATGTGCACTGCTTGCACATTAGGTCATTTCTGAAACATAAGCACCATGATTAAAGACACCTATTAATAAAGTAATTTGGTCGAAAAATATTTCAAATAAATGTAGAAACACTCACAATGAAAAATGATTTTCTCCAAACAAATTTGTATCGCATTCAATGCAGAAATGTGCCTGTTGGGTACTGCTTGAAGCTAAGATATTTGCGTTCTTTGACAGCAAGTTAGATCCAGATTTGGATCCTGTTAGTGACATCTCAGAGATCAACCTTGGCCGAGAAATCATAATGCTTACTTTACTTTTGCATGTATATGGCACAACATCTAAGATCAAAGAAACAATGCAATGAAGTGAAGTGAAGAATAAAGTTCAGAAAGAGCCATGTCGCTCCACTTAAGATAATTGCATTCCAATAGACTATCATGAACATACTTGGATTATCATGGAAGCTTTTATGATCACTATTAATATGTTCCTTTATAATTCCTTTATGTATAAAAGAAAGGGAGCATTTGTCACACTTTTTGGAGGTGTTGTTGAGTTGATGTTTTTTCACATGATGCATGAAAAAGAAAACATTTGCTGCAAGCTTCTTTCCCTGGTTTCCAACAGCTACACACTTCAAACAATATGGACACTGGAGTTTTTCTCCATTTTTGTGGACCTGAGAATAGTTTTTTGAGTGGTGTAAATAAAGGGAAACAAGATTATCTTAATGTTATTGAACATCTAGTAATACCTCATAAAAGTGGTCAACCAGTGTGAATTGTTCACTGCATCGAAAGCTGCAAATTGTACAGCTGAAGGGTAGCTCCAACTGATTGTGGGTTCGGCGCATATGCATTATCAGACTCTCTTTGCTGCTCATTTTCTCACAACAAATGAGGCATGCTGTTTCATCAAGTGACAAGCTCTTATGAACCTGTAAAGAAAGAAAAAAATTACAACACATACTTTAAACTCTTGTTAAAAACAAAAAGAAGAGTTTCAGATACAAGAATCTGTATTGACTTTTACCTCTTTAGCATGGTTATCTTTCTCTTCACTAGAAGGAAATATTTTAGCACAATATATACACATGTTAATATTTGAAATTTCCTGAGCAGTTGGTGTGGCAGAATGAGCCAACAAATGTTTCATCAATGTCAGGTTATCCTGAACTGAGGAACTGCAAAGAGGGCACTGCAAAATAAAATTAAGGCCAACATTAAACCTAGGTTCTAGAAACTGCCAACTCCTTCTAAGTTTGCCATTTCATGCCTAAAACTTATCGCTAATTCCATAATTTTCTTATGTTTTCATTTAGGAAAACAAACTGACCTTTGCATTGAGGTTCTCTATTTTAAATTCAGAGCTGACAAGTGCATTGTCGGGAGGTAGTGTACCATAATAGAATGCCACAAGTGAGACAAGATCTTTTGTATTTTTCAGAGTCTCCTTAAGGTCAACATAGTCTTGTGTACTTTCCAAAGATTTCTGTCCAGGCTTCTTATTGACAGTTGGTTCATCAGTTCCAATAAATATCCTTTTCCTTTTACTTGCGTCCCCCTGAAACTGAGGAAAGAAGTGATCACAACGCAAAGTATCCACAAAGTAAACATTGAAAATAATTTTTTAATTTATGGATTGCTGAGGAAGTAAAGCAGAAACCAAAACTTACCTTGGCTTCGTTTGACTGTTTACATGGTTTGGAATCACTCAAATTCACACCAGCATTTTCTAAAGCTCGCATGGTGTTTGTGGAATTAAAAGGATGAAGGCCAATAACTTTAAACGCATTGCGAATTTGTTGTCCCACTCCTGCCCCAATAGTAGAGGTAAACAGTTCTTTAATATGGGTAGGATAATTATCTACACTGATGCACCTATCACCATTGGCCAAAGACCAAGATCGCATTAGACTCCGCCACTGAGTCCTCAGCTTTTCACAAAGAACCACATCAATAGGAGAAAGTACACCAGAAATGTTGCAAGGCATGCTGACAAAGGTGATATTCTTATCCATACAAAGGGCTAGAGATTTGACAGTGAATAACTTGGCTAAACTGTCCCCCACCACAACTTTCTTTCCTTCTAGTTTGTCAGCCCAAGGAAACAACACAGTTTCAATCCATTTGTGAAAAGCTATTTCATCAAACCAACCACTTTGGGTTGCATAATACTCTCCAGAGAAATCTCCTTTCTCTATAGTGGTGAGTTTGCCTTCAAATATGATGAAGATCGGAAGTACTTTGCCCACAGCCGTGCATGCCACCATAATGGCGGTAGATGACTTAACTTTTCTTCTACCAACAGGATATCTTATATCACGCAGCTCAATTGTCATTGATTTAAGTGGATCTCCAGTTAGTCCAATTTCCATAATATTCAAAATATTCTGTGGAGGCACAGATTCAAGCTCAGATGAGATATTTAGAAGGTATTGCTTAACAGTCTCTGTATCAATTGGTGATCCACGGGATGGAACACTGCTACACAATCTAGCCCTTATGAGTGGATGGCGAGTCAAAAACCGTTCCAGCCACATCTCTCCGGGGAAATTGTCCTTGAACCTAGTTTCAACACGGCCACAGGCTTCTAGATACTGTTTAACTGCCATTTGAATATCCCAACGTGCAAATGGGTATCCCCATTCATATAAAGTCATCAAGTATTCCTTTATATCTTCTTCTTCATCTTCAGTAAATACTGTGAAAGCAGGAATCAACCTATACTTTAGGAATTCTTTTGTCCTTTCATACAGGAGAGAACGAGGAAGGTTGTGTTCTTCAACCAACTTCCGTAAAGTTGTAGATGTATCAATTTTTTTCAGAGCCTGGTTCAATCTGTTCCTTAATTCCTCTCCAATTTCATAGTTGTAAGGTTTTGGAAGAGCAATGCTGAAAACATACTCATCATCAGCGTCAATGGAAGACTCAGTTTTGCCCTGAAACAGACAGACATTTTAGTCCAAAAAAGGCACTGTGTGTCAAGTAATCATTTCAATATATTTGTTATCAACAACTTACAACAGATTTGGAGAGAGTTGGATTGGAGATTTGTTCTATGAGCGGTACTGTTGATATGTCTAATCCATTTATGTTCCAATGTTTGTACTCCCAAGATTTGAATGGATTAGCTGCTATCTTTCCTAACTTAACAATTAAGTTTTCTCCTAAAAATATGAAAAACAAATAAGATATGGGATCTCGTGATGAAACTAAACACATAAGTGAAATCTACCTTTGTCTAACTTAGTCTGCGCCGCCAAATTGGACACTAGTGATTCAAAGGCCTGAGAGGGGATTGACCCCCATAGTTCACGCCAAACTAATTCATCTAGAAATTGTTGGATAATTTGACGAGACAATAAAGACAGGGTGTTCTAGAAAAGAAAATTTGGTAAACATCTGCACTAGCGTTCAAACCTTATTTCCTCTCAAACAAAAACCAAAAAAAATACAAAACAAAAAAAAAAAACCATAAAAAGTACCTGGAACATTCGCGGTACAATACGTCTGAGGTACTCCATGATGTTTTGATTACTCAGTTTACTTGAACTGGTGGGTGGATCAGGTATAGTTGTCTGTAGTACCTGATTGAATCCCATACTCAAAAGTGTACCTTTATCTACAGTGAAATCAGTCACTATTGTACTGTCAAGGTGAACCCAATGTCGTAAAGGTTCTAAAATCTTCACAAAGCGCCTCTTATAGTTTCTTTCCGCTTCCTATCACAAGAATTAAATATAAATTAATATCAGCAAACATGTAAGGTTGTGGCAGTATCAACACAAGTATCACATATTGCTTATTCTGTAAATACTCTTTCATTGTCATTATTACCTGAAGTGGTTCTACAGCTCTCAACCTCACTAATTTACTTTCTGTGTCCATTACACCCAGGACCTCAACCTTGACTTGACGCTGGTTTCCATCTTGTGAAGTAGTACCTAGGCTAATAACACCAACCTAAAAACACCATAAAAAATAGTAATTAAATGATTTATTTAAAAAAAAAAAAAATACTTTTAGTAACTGGGAACACTCACCTCAACTCTCTTTTGAGGTCCTCCAAGTTTCTGAAAATTTTCATGAACAGCAGCAATGCAAACACTTCGCATGTGTGTGAAAAAGTTCTTCACATAAAAATTATCAACCTTAACCCATTGAACAACATTTTGGACATTTGTCTGACAGCACCAGTGGTACATAAGCTTCAATAACACAGTTGGAGGATGAGGAGCACCTTCAAAGATGGACCCACTGAATACCTAGGAACAGAGGGTACACAGTATAAAATGCATTACAACATAACAAATAACTTTCACATACCATCTAAAATATTTTACTGACCGAAACAAATCTTTGTGGACAGCAGTCATTAACCCAAACATAGCCTCCACTGTAGGGGAATTTAGCCACATCTGAATAAGTGCCTAATTTTAATGCAAGGGGACCATCCCCCTCTGAATGCTGAGAGCAAAACTGGTCACTTTTAACCAAGCCCTGTTGTATCAACCACTCACAGAATTTGGCAGCATTATACATCAACACACTTTTGACTTTTGCATCTAAAAGAAAGAAAAAAGTGGAGGGAGGAAAAAATACACTAGTAACTCGCAAAAATTAAAACTGCAAAGTTAAGACACCATATTAATAAAAATTACCTAAGGCAGATCGTTCTTTATTAATTTTGGTTTGGGTCATTTCTGACACTCTCAAATGTGGTTTGGCCAGAACAACCAGAGATGGAAATGTTTTCCCAGATAATTTATTAAAAGTGAGTTCTTTTGAATCTGGACCAGATGCATTGGTTTTACCATCATCTGTAAACGGAAATGGAAATACATAACAGGAGGGAACAAGGAAGAGAAATATAAATGGCCGCAGAGTAAGATTTTGTAAATGAAGTACCATTGGTATTCTTCTTTGAATTTCCAGCAGACAGACCCCCAACACTAGTATTTTCATGGGCATTTGGTCTAATGATGGGTTGTGGAATTCCTACAGGCGTGGATGCTGACACACCCAGACTGGAGTTTCTCTGTTTTTGGCCTTGCATTGGAGAAGAGGTTGACATTGTTGAAGTTGTTGCAGCTGTAACAACTGAACACGATCATTTCAAACTTTGGCTTTGTAGAAATAGTTACTCAAGAAGGTTATGAAGTTACCAGTTGTAGCAGATGGTGTTTTAACAGCTTGTGTTTTAGTAGATGGAGCTTGAATAGCAATAGCAGGAGCAGCAGTGGTTTTCACAATCAAGGAGGTTGGTTTAGGGCGCAGTCTTTGAGGAGCAGGAGTTGTTTGTAAAGATGCAGATGACTGCAAATATAATATAACATTAATGCACCATGCAAACACAAAGAATTTGAACTCAACAGGCCCATTGAATGAATGTACTTACAGTGGTTACAGTGGATACAAGCCCAGGGGGTGAGGTTGCAGCCGTGGCTATCACTTGAAATGCTAACAGAAAGAGACATTAATTAAATTAAGAAGAGTGTCGAAATAGAATTCCAGACATAAATAAGCATATCCACTTGCCTTTTTGATTAGAAACTTCTCCAACAATCAAGCCTAATCTTGGATCCATCACTAGCTGGTAAGCAGTTTGTGGCATCTGGAAGGTTCCTGCAGTTGATCCTTGAGTAGTAGCTACTACCCGCGTTCCTGAAGGAGCCTGCCCACCCTGTCAAAGATCAAAGTTCTGTAAGTATCTAAACCTCATGATCTCTTGTGAATTATGAACAAGTGTCAACATACAAATGTCATACCTGTAAGACAAGGGGGACACTTTGAAGTTTCGGTATTTGGGGCTGTGATTGAGATGTGACAACTTTGTTGCTTTGACATGCTGTTGAAGCCTGTGCAACTGAACTGACTAGACTGCTAAGAACTGATGTTGCAGGTGTCCTAAACCAAAGTAAAAAGTGTTAAGTGAGTAAGACTCATATAAGGGAATGCAAATCGTACAATACAATTACAAGAAAAGTCACTACTCACCCTGCGGATCCTTGAAGAACTAACACATCAGAGCCACGTTCCAACACATCCCCCTTTTCTTTAAAAATAAAATCAGAAACCTTTCTCATAATATCACTGTATTCTTTCTGAGACCTAGAATAGTGCGCCTTTTGTGATTCACTAAGTTCCTCTGTCCAGTAGTCCATTTGAAGGGATGTATCAGGAGCAGGCATGACATCTGAACCATCTTGAAAGTTTGCCATGATGATTGATCAAAGAAGATTCCAAATAACTGACGAGAAACACATCAAACAATATAAATATACAACATATTAAAAATGCAGACATAAAGGTTATGATGGGTTAGGGGTTCAAAGCTGTACAGCCATAGGTCAGATAAAGTAATGCTAAGAAGTGAAGGGTCATGAATCGTCATTTTAAAGTAGTAAAATGCCTCAGAAGTTTTCTGTCCAATTTCTAATAAAATGAATAAAAAATAGGAACCTCAACAGTTTAATTACAAATCCCTCACAAAATTCACAATAGTCACAAGAAGCGTCCAAACAAACCTTAATCAAAGAAAATTACGCAAATAAAAGGTCGACTTGGGAGTGATTGAGATTATTTTCCAATCATTGGGTTCGGCGGGAAATGATATTCCTGACATTGTACGCCAGGTTTCGTTGTTTTGGCGTGCCCAACCGGTAACACCAAGACATACAAGTTCAACTTATCAGCATGAGGGGTTGATTTTCAACATCAAGAACCAATATTTAAAATGTAGCGAGTACACGATACCTTCAATCAGTCATCCAGTAACCAGTAGTAGACTCTTGGCTAGCATTTAAATATTTACATCGAGTGACATAATGTTTATTTATTCTAATTCATCATACGAAATGTTCCTTGCCCGACAAACAGAACAGGCGGGCTCTTTTGCAGACGACTTACTGGTTTGACCAAAAGATAGCGCTGCGAGCGATAGCCTCGTAGCCGAGGACTAGTGAGAGGCCCTTGTATGAGGCTACGAAGTTGTGAGTTGGCCGAGGGACCGGTCGGAGACTAGCAGACGGGGTGTTTCAACTTCCAAGTCTGTCTGCTTCAAGTTCTCACAGAATATGGTCGTGGAAGAAATATCTGAAGACCATGCCGAGAAAGTCCTGGATGTTCCTATCGTCGAACAGACGCCAAAAGTTTTAACACTTGAAAGTATCCTTTACACCAAAAGTTGGACATATTTATCATTATGACACATATGGTTGAAGTGTTGTAGGGTTATCGTTCTAAACAGTGTTTTACTTGTTCAATCTGGTTATTACGTTTCGAGTAATTCAAACATGGCATCGTTTTGCTTTTTATGCACGTCACCTATCCATTTCTGAATTTTCTCCTGACCTTTCCAAAGCACTAGATTTTTCAATGCCCCAATTATAATTCTAGTTCGTCGTTCAATTTTTTGAAATATTGTTTGCAAGCTCTGTCTTGAATGAGTTTTACTGTTTGACTTTGCATTGAACCTCCATTCAAACATAAAGTATTTTCTTAACTCATATAACAGTCCTTAAAATTATCAAGGATGCCCAACAACAACATGGCTTACGTCATGGTGACTTTCAGCGGTACAGGTAATGTCAGAACAAAGCAATGCACTTTTAGGAATCATTTCCCTGCTCCTAACTTACAGTGTTCGTCCATATTTTTCTAGAGGATACTGCTCCCGACGCATTCGGAGACTGCGCAAGGTACTGCATGTTACCCAGGCTGAGAAGCGTCACTTCAAGAAAAAGGAAATTACTGAAGCCATGGTGACAGATGAAAAGTTCCTTTATGTTCCACTTATGATGTCTGAACGTTGCTGGAGTTATGCCATGCAATTGCGTCAGGAATCAAACACGGAACCTAGGAAAAAGTTTCACCACATCAGCCGTTTACGCAAAGCAACTGTTTTCTCCTTGCAACTTCAGAAACTTTGTGACGTAAGTATTATTCTAGTCTTTCTTTGGAAATATTTTTTAATATCTACAGATCCGTCCTCAAACATTGCAGCTACCAATCTGTGATGCTCGCACTAAGCTGGAAGCTCAGGCATATGTGGCATGGATCCATGGGTCCTTGCATTTCGAACTGCAAATGTGGATACCAGCCATGGAAAACTTGAAGAAGGCGCAAATGGTTTATGAAAAGCTGGCTGAGGCTCTTCCTGAAGAGGACAGCCCACTCTATCTGCAGCGTGTTGAAGAACTAGCACCCAGCTTGCGTTTCTGTGCCTATAACATTGGTGATGAAACGGCAATTGATGATCTGCTGAAAATGCGTAGTCAGGGTCATGGAGATCTCATGACCAATCTTGATGTAAGCTTCATACTGCAGTTGTATTTTTTTTGTCTTACAGAAACAATTTTACTTTCTGAGGTCCTAAATTGATTTAATTTTTAATTTTAGACTCTCATGGTTCAAACTCGTGAGAAACATGCTGGTGAGCTCAGCACTGTTGAATGGCGTGGAAGAAGTGTGACCGTTCGCCCGGAAAGGGCTCGAATCTTCTTGTTATCAGAAAGGGACACGGATCAAGCGATGAAGAATGCAGTTGATATCCCAGGACGCATTGAAATTTTGGAAACTTTATTAATGGACTGCAAAGATGCCATTGCAGCTGTGAAAGATGAAATGAAACAGGATCCTGTAAGATAACTTAGTATTGAAATGTCTTTAAACAATTTTTAAATGCCATATGTCTTCTTTTGCTAACTTGCTGTTTGTTTCCTAAAAATGACAAAAACAGACCACCAAGAACCGTGTGGGACCATCAGACACTGTCCATCCTCTCCAATATTTGCTGACCTACTTGCTGCATATTCGCCTGACTCGTACTGTGCAGCGAAATTTACTTCTTGTGGAGCAAGCTAACTGTGAGGTAAACTTCACAACTGTGTCTAGCTGCTTGATTTCTGTGCATGAAGGAACAGTTTTCCCTTTATCAAAGAGTAACAATCATACTTATTTCTCATTTCACTCTCTAATGCTTTTTAATTAAGAATGGAGCTGAGATGAAATCGAAGAACCATCTTCAAGACCTTACTCGTCTGTATGAAATTATCTTGCAAAATCTTCAAGAAATGCAAACCCTTCCTGGTCTTGAAGAGGATGCTGCTTATCAGAAGGAAGTAGAAGCTAAAATGACAACTTATAAAGCTTTCAGGTTAGTCCAATGATATGTATCATATCGTACAATTCTTCATTGAAGTAGGAATATATTTAAAACAAATTTTTGTAACATTCAATCAAATTTCCAGGTGCTTCTACATAGCTCAGATTTTGGTGGGACTTCGGAGGTGGAGAGAAGGAATGGCTCTTTACCAGCGGTCTGAGCAATATGTGAAAGAGGCTCTTAAAACATCTCTAGAGCAGAAACCACAACTTGAAAAATTGAAGAAAGACATTGAAGGCTGCAAGTTCTCTGCTCATGCTCACAGCGTTTTGGAAGGTGAAGACACAGAAGGAGAATCATCCCCTAAGGGGCCTAAATCGAGAAAGGTATATATTCTTACAAATCTATGTGTTTGAAGCTGCTTCTTCTATAAAAAGGAGTGGACTTGTGTACCATTGAGCGTTTTATGGTTATGTTTTTAAGACTAGTACATATCTAATTTGTTTATTTATTTTGTTTAGCCGCTTGCAGAGCGCCTTGGAGAATATCGCGAAGATCCCAGCCTTACTTCAAAGTCTCCAAATGTTTATCGTTTGCCCCCTGATATGAAACCTATTCCATGCAAGCCACTGTTCTTTGATTTGGCTCTTAATTGGGCTGAGTTCCCCTCTTTGGAAGATAAACTTGATGGAGCTGCAAAGAAAGGACAAAGCAATGCTGGCCTTACTGGCTTTGTCAAGGGCTTCCTGGGATGGGGTGGTTCAAAAAGCTAAAAGTCCTCACACCACCATTTTACTTAATATCTTTGAACTTTCATTGTACTGCCAATCCACAAAATGTATTTTGATTTTCTTTTCAGTTTTATGGGTTTAAGGTGTGGGGTTAACAATTGTTGGGCATGTGAATGATGCATTGAAATGTCACTCTTTGTAATTTTTGTATTTGGAAATGCAAGGAATAAAGTAAAGAATATAGAAATGTGTCTCACAAATACTAAAGCACAGGATGGATAGTGTTATCAATTTTTTGAAGTTTTTATTAATTTCACAATTATATTTACATTGTAAACTGAGTATATTTCTACAAAAACAATTCCACAAAAAAAAATTGGTTGATATAATTCTATAAGAAAACTTTACAATATTACAGTATATACCAACATACATTTGTGAAAACTGTTACAAATATTATAAAAATGCACTTTAAAGATTTACTAGTAAAAAAGACATTGTAAAATCACACCTTACAGGTAATTGCATGCAAATTTCATCTAAAGTCTAGGATTTTTGTCCTCATGAGAATTAGCAAGATACTAGCTCCACTCAATAGTAAGGGGATATAGTGATAAGTCATGCTGAGGCAGTGTCCAATTTAAGTGTTAGGGAAAAGATGGTTCATAGTACTGAACATGGTGTTACATTAAGTATAGTAAGGGTGTGCCAAACAAATTAATGCTTCATACATGGTTCCTACAGATGCTAAGGCCTTATCAAACACAGTTGGAAGATCAAGTCCTTTTCAAGTGCCCACTTAGACCACATTGTTTTAAAATTAAAACAACAACTCAGTACAAAATTTAACAAAGCAGAAAAGCAAAAGGTAATGATTGAAATCTTTTAAAATTTAAATGAATTTTACAGCTTGGGTATAAGCACTGCACTGCACACCCTTAAAAAGGACATTGTGTTTTCATAGAGGTCACATGAAGAGGCTGGCCACTGGACATGGGGCAGGTCATTACTGTGACATACACAGTCTCAGAATCTCACTAATAGACAGGGGCATTTACATTCTTGAACCTTTCTGCTGTAGGACCTAAAAACCACACAAGAGTACACAAAATCAAAATATTATCAGGGTGAGAAACTTTCTCATTGAATAATATTGCAATAAATTGCATCTTATTGGTTTTTATATGATGTACAAACCTTGGCTCTGTCTGTTGGTTCAGTTTCTTTGGAATTGATGGTTGCTCCATATTCCCTTGAGACAACACATAGAAACTCAGCATGGTCTTCATTACCATAATTATACTGAGATCCTATATTTATCAACTAAAAAACACACAGCAAAATAACAACCTTAATAAACAGAGGAGCAATTATACACCATAAAAGACAAACAAAATCATGTTGAATCCAACCTGTTCAAACTTCCAACCATCAGAGAGGGTGGAAACCATCTGTGTGAGTTCATCTTCATGGCACTGAAGAACCCGATAAACAAATTTCTTCCCATTCTGCATTTGATTAAGTCGCTCCGCTGCTCTTTTCTCTCTGGTGTTTATTCGTTCACTCACCAGCTGAATCAGTTTTGTTATGTTGTAAAACTCTGCTTCTTCCAAAACTCCTGCAAAAGAGAACAACATTCATTAAAACAGAAACAAAATTTGGATGGGATATGTTTCACATGTAGTAATTTGGAAAATCAATATGTAAAAGATGACACAAACCCTCTTCAGTCAGATCTCTGTTGATGATGAGTTTCCCATGACGCAAATAATTCAAAATAGGGCTGAAGTATGTTGGATCTCTGTCAATTAAATATGCTCCAGTCTCATCCTGGAAAGAAAGAAATGATTTCCCTAAAATAAATGTGCGTATATAGCATGACTGTAAAGTTTGGAGAAACCAGTTTGAAACAAGGAAATCATGGCATTTATGGAGTCACCACATGAATATGTACATTCAAGGAGAAATCACTAGTTCAACGTCCAAAGAGGAAAGATGTCTCAGACAGGTAAACAAGTAAGCAAGTTCAACATAACCTACAACGTGATTTTGCCTTCACAGAGTAGTAGATATTTTGTCAAGTTAAAACGTGACAGGTAGAACAAGTAGGGGGTTCTATTCTAACAATAAAGCAAAAAATACTCACCCTGTCAGAGATTAAATCTGACTCTTGGCAGAGACGAAACAAAAATGAATTGGGATCACCAGACAAGGTTGTTTTCGTAGTCAAAAAGTGGGTCCCGCCTACGTTCAGACGCACCCACTGTTTACTATTTTTGGTTGGGTTCGATTCACTGTCCATTTCCTCTCCATGGGAGTTCTTTTCCACCTTGTCAGCCATGATTGTTATGATACCAATCCAATGTTTATCCTAGATTTATCCATCCATCCACCCATCTACCCATGTACCCTCCAGACGGCAATTCTGCGAATAACTGTGTGGTGCCTGTAATCTTTCTTCAATTATCCACACTAAGTTGTGCGAATATCGCAACAGCCAGCGAACGTCAATATCAATCGCAATTTTTTTTATCGCTTTCTCCCTTTCTCCCTTCTCTCTCCCTGTCATCTTTTTCGCTCCTTCTTTCTTCTGTAGCAAAGTTGAAAAAAGTTGTCAGAGGCCGCGCAAGTATTGTTCGCGCCTTGAATGTCAGAATGCCGGTTAGGGTTGAAATTGTCCCTCCTCCCCCAGCTAATTCCAAACAGCCTGGCGTGACAAAGTCTCTCCTTTACAACGGATCTCGTTTTCAAGGATCACAGAAGTCAAAAGGGAATAGCTACGAGGTCGAAGTTGTTTTGCAGGTTAGGTCTTTTTCTTGTGTTTAGTTATTACCAGAATTTGTACCGTATGGCTCGAGAGTTCGGACTTGCTTCTCACCCTGCACCTGTTTCTATTTTAGTGAAAGGAAAAGACGCTGCTCTGTTTATGTTAGTTTTTACACCACGATCTAATTGTTGGACTACTTGTTTTTGCCAGCTGCAATATCATTTCACTCATGTTATTTTTGTGTGGGTGTTGTCATTCAGTTAGTGTTTCTCCTCGTTACATTAGACATTGTCTTAAAAAATTGTCATTCTTTGAACATTTGATCACTTTAATGGTGCACAGAACATGCACCAATTTAGCAAACTATTCCAATTTAAATTTGGAAAACTGTAAATTTTGAATTTCCATTCCAATCTAATTGTTCAACTGTTTTTTTGTTTTTTTTTAGCATGTTGATGAAGAAAACTCCTACCTTTGTGGGTATCTTGGGATCAAAGGACTAACTGAAGAATTCCCCACTCTCACAACATTTTTTGACGGTGAAATCATTAGCAAAAAGTACCCATTTCTCACTAGAAAATGGGACGCAGATGAAGATGTGGACAAGAAACATTGGGTAAGCCAAGGACTTACGTTTGCAGTGATTGCTTTCCTCAGAGATAGAAACTTGTATTCTCTGGCTTCTAACACATACTTCATTATAATTTCAGAGTAAGTTTGGCTCTTTCCATCAGTATGCCAAAACTTTCAATTCGGATACTTTCAGCTACGATAATTTGAAAGAGACAGATTATGTTTTCATGAGGTGGAAGGAACATTTTCTAGTGCCAGATCATACAATTAAGGATATCAGTGGAGCTTCGTTCGCAGGATTCTATTATATTTGCTTCCACAAGTCGGCTGCGACTATTGAAGGCTACTATTATCACAGAAGTTCAGAATGGTATGTACTGTGGTAGTTGCCACCAAAGTGTAAGGTCAATCAATGTGTATTTGTGTATTGAAATTTTCTGTCTTGTTACAGGTATCAGTCGTTAACACTGAGCCATGTGCCAGAGCATAGTATTCAAATATATGAGTTTAGGTGAGATTTGTTGTGCCATGCATCAAAAAATAAGTCTGATTTTATTTTGATTTTTTTTTTTTATTTAAAAATGAGGGATGTTTGCAATGAGATCAGGTCTGTTAACCAGAATATGTCAATATGTACGTTTTTACATATTTAATGAAGTTGTATATTTTCATTTTCTTTTTTGTATATTTTCTCTTCAATGCTTTAGTGCAAGAATGAGCTGCACCTTTTTTTTTTTTTTTTGAAAAACGTTATTTGTGATCTTGTATGTTTGTTTTTTTAAACAAATTAATATAAGTACGTAATGTGATTGCAATATTTAAGTGTCTTTATCCTTTGAGACATCCCTCTACCACGCACTTTCATCAGAGAGGAGAGGCTGCAAATCTGAAACAAGGAGTCACAGTGAAGCCTAATAAGAGCCTACTTTCCACCATAATGGTTCTAGTATGAACCCTTCTTTGTTATTTTCAAGGACATCTCCCCCACCCTTTTTTTTTCTCTCGCAATTGTTAGCTCAATTTTTGAAAAAGAAAAAAAATTAGTGCTCTTGTTTTAGCCGTTCCATTAGCTTTCCTCTCCCTGACACTGTCATCTAGGTTTGTTGTGTTTGAGAAGTCAGACTAGGCTCCAATGTGCTATGAGCATTAGCTAAGACACAACTTGGAAGGCATTTATGTCAAAGCACTTGCTTTAATCTGGCATATTTACAAGTCACAGTCACAAAGTTAAATCATTGCTCATATGTACACTCACACACGTACACTGCACTCATGCTCTCCCTTTTACAGACAACTGGGTATAAGAATAATGTTAAGATAAGGTCCTATGCATCTTCAGGGCAAATGCACACTTACATGACTACATTGCCTAGGTAAAACAACATTAACAAAGTCACCCCAAAGAATCAAGAAGAATTATTGGAAAAGAGTAAGAGGTATTACAAGCTGATAAAACTCAAATTTTTATTAAAAAACAAGAAAACAATCTTTGTAAGGATGCACAATGGGCTATCATTGCAGCTAAGATGGGGAATAAATAACTAACAAACAGCTAGTGAAACGTACTAAAAAGGATGGTAGGAAAGCTGCCATATGTATTGAATGGAATGTTAATTTGGGCATTCAGTTTCAAAGTTATTGCCCTCTTGGAACTAGCTCCAAAACAAGAATAAATTCAGGTTTCATCAACTAGATACCAGGTCTGGCTCGTAGATTTACTTTTACTGATATATCACCACATTTCAAACTGTTTGCTTTGAATAGAGCACAATAATAAAATATATTCATTTTATTAAAATATATTTCTGTTTCAATATACTGGAGTTTTAAAAATGTTGGTTTTTAAAAAAGTTGAGTATGAGTTGATAATGGTGAACAAGACTCAGAGAAATAAACATGGATTAATCAAGAGCCAGGGAGGTCAAGACTTTGTAACAAAACATGTGAGCAAAACACCTGAAGAAAATAAATAAGATTTAACAGACTGCGCCACAATTGTTTGTCTCAATTTTATGCTGTCACAAATGTCAAAACTTTACTTTTATCTTCACATGGTATGACTTATGTAGGGGGCTTGGACGGTTCATGGTATTTAGAGCAGAAGTCAACAAATTACAAGTTAATTTTTCACAAAAAGAAAATCCTAGAGATACTCCAGCTTGACCATAATTTCAGAACAATAATCTCACTCACAGAAATACATTGATTATAATTGAACTCTTAATGAGGCTTGTAAGCAACAAAATCTCTAGGAATCAATAAATTATCTCTATCCAAGAGATACAAAGTACAAAAGATGGATTCTCAGAAGTTCTACCAAACTCACATTCATCAGAATAACCAGGATATGTGCAAAGAAAGTGTTTATCACTGCACCATACTAAACACAAGTAAGATAGAAGCCGCATAAAAATGAGATTCCTGATATTAAAAGCATAGAAATGATTTGAAAGGTCTGTTTACAGTCATGATAACACTTACAATTTGTAAGAGAGCGTCAATGCTACATATTTACATGTAATTTATGTACAAGTTCACTTTGGTCTGAAAAAAAATGCCAATGCTACATATTGTAAAGTAATAGTCACATCAAAGTTCATCACAAGAATATGGACAGCAAGAAAATTCCGTCATTATTTTTCTTTTAAAAAAGAATACATTCACAGCACAATTGATAGGAGCACACTGTAGAACAACAGAAATCAGGAGATGCAGCATGAATTGCGGCCAACACAACTAGTCCGGTTTTGGTCAAGCACATTACTGGAAGATGGAGAAGCACTTGAAGCAGTTGAAGAAGTTGGGCAAACCATTCCAACAAATCTAAGTTTCTTGCTTCCTGACAGAGTTCCCATTTTGCCAGAAGCAAGAAGATGATTTCTGTTGTTGTTCATGACATATCGATGCATTGAGGTTGTTGAGTAGCTTGACAAATCATACGACTTCAAATGTGATTTGATTGACCCAGGAAGAGGAAGTTGATCAATGCCATAGACAGATGTTCTTGCCACAATTGTACGACAGCAGAGTTCCTGAAGGCTTAAAACTGGAAACATCAAAGATAAAACAGAAATCAGCACACTCAAAAGATGTTATAAACAGCTTTTCAGGAAAAACAATTTCTACACCAAAACAATGTGAGAGAAAAACACACATCAATGTACCTTTATTTGACCTCCAAAGCCTTTCCATGCCATTCCTATGTAGGGCCATACGAGATAGTTCACTAAAACTTTCTCGTATGTTAAAGTCACACAATGGACTCACTTCAAAGAAAGACATGCGATTTTTAAAAGCATAAGCCTCTGCTTCTCTTGTGCCAACTTGACGTTTGAAAGCTAGATGAAGACGGTTCCCAACAAGAACTTTAGGGACACCAGGCGCATGCTGTAATCAGATATTTTTATGATCAAAACTGTCTGGTATGAAAGAAAGAAATACACCAAGTCTGAAGTAAACTCAAAAACTGAAACAAAAATTTACCTCCTCAACCTCCTTTAACCACCGGTCAATACCATCAAAAGACCACTTGTTTGTTATGTCATAAACTAGTAGAATACCTTGTGCTCCTCTTGAATAGGACCTTATAATAGTACAAAATCGTCCTTGCCCCGATGTATCCCATAATTGCAGTTTCACGCGCTTCCCATCCAACAGAATCGTTGTTGTCTTGTAAGCTGAAAGAGAGAATCAAGAAAACGCATAATTAAGCAGTGCTAAGTATGGAAGCCTACAATTGAGGGAGTAACTTGAAGAACTGACTTAAATAGGCTTCTGTCAAGTAACAGATGAAGCAACCAAAAGACACACAAAGTTGAAAGATAAAAGTCATAATGCCATGTTACACTGAGGCAGAGCCACATACTATTGCTCAAATGCAATAGATGTAATACTAAAGCTAATTACTCATTTAAACAGCTAAAATAGTGGAGAATACTAGAGAAAGCCTCGTTAAGGAAAAATATTGTAAAATGTGCCAGAAAATCAAAAAACAAAAAAAATAGGTTAATAAACAGAAGAGGAATCATATTTAGGCACCTCATTCATGAACTATACATACCACTCCCACTACAAAAGGGGGATTCTGATGAACCATCTTCGAGACCACTTAATATTTCTTGTTTACCAACGTCACTGTCTCCCACAAGAAGAAATTTTAACAAATAATCATATTGTTTTTGTTGTGGTCTTGGCTCCAGAGCCATAACACACACACTTCCTTGTTTTTCTTGAGCATAATCAGTTGTTTCTCGAGGTTCACTTCTATTCAAAATGTTGAATGGATAAATTAAGCAACGCCTATTCAGCGTTTTCAGTGCGAGGGTTATTCGCGGAAAAGAACGACATTTCACACAAAGTGCACGACGAAATATTATTGACAATGCAGAAAGGTTAGAGATTGAGATTCCTGGCCTGCCTCGGCAGAGCGGAGAGAGAGTGGGCGCCAAGTCACGCAGAGATTAACCGGAAGTGTTAGAATGTTGAAATCCTCGCGGGCAGTTTGAACTGCTGTTATTCCGACCCCCGCGTCTACCCCCTCTTCCCTCGAAGGACACCTGCAAGCCTGCAAGCTGCAAGACACCTGGAGGACTGGACTGCGGCCGGGCCGGGGCCTGGAGATGGCCTGGAGGAGGAGGAGGACGCAACCCTGCCTCCTGGAGTTTGACGTCTGAGAAGGAGTCCGAGAGGTAGATACGCGACGCGATATTTATCTGCTAGCGGAAGAAGGATATTGAAGCCCCCATTACCTATCACTATGGTAAGCATGGATTTATGTAGGCCTTACAATGAAATCTCTGTTTTATCTATCTTTATGTAGTTAACAGGTTAGAAGTGTAAAGTTGTTGAGCACAAGCAAATCAAAACAAAAAATGCAGAGTTTACCTAATAGTCTTTGTTTGTTCTTTTTTACAAATGGAATAGTTTTGACTGAAACAATTAAAACTAGATTTTTCCAATATGATTTAATATTTGTATCTCAATATTTAGGTGTAGTGATGATGCATCGTGAAACTCTATCCTTGATGACTTCCAATTCGTCTGGACAGTTCTCTGAAGAAAGCACAGCAACTTCAGAAAATGAGTCCTGTGATGATGTTAAGTCATGGCAAAGCACAAATTCATCGTCATGCAGTTCTTGTACTGACTCAGGCTCAGATGAAGGGTGAGTTTCTTGCCCTTTACTTTCCTTTCTTCTGTGCAATTTCCTTGACTCTTCTTTTGCTTAATGCGTAGATACATGAAACTTTATACTCCAGTTTCCACTTACTTTATGACTAATCTTTTCATAGGTCTGTTGAGTGGGAGTCAGAAGTAAGGTCAGATGGTGAACTATATTATATAGTCTCTGACCCATTGCACCAACCAAAAAATTCTAGTGAGCCAGTCACTGACATCAACATTGGTACAGCTGATACTCATACCTCTGCATTGAAAGATTCAACATCAAAATCATGGAGAAATGGAGGTAAAATTTTACTAGGCTTCCTGTAATCATGTACTAAGGAAAAGGAAACAAAAACCTTGAACTAAGCATGCTTTTACCATTCTAGGCAAATTAGTTCGACTCATTCGTCGAAGAGAAAGCAAAAGGCACCGCAATAATGTATTGAAAAGTACAAATCCGATGGGAGGAAGAGAAAAGCAAAATCCAGTTTCTCAAGCCCCAACTAACGTTATGAAGGTATATTTTCCTGCTGCCGCCATTTATTCGACTATTTGTTAACAAGTTCTTCACAAATTTAATTTTTTTTAATTCTAGGAAGGTACAGATCATGTGGTTGAATTAAATGTTGACCCATGGGTGAAACGAAATCTTGGACGGCGAGCAACCATCAGTGAAACACTCCTGGGTCTGGTTACTGTCTGCCATGAATCAGAAATTTTTGTTACTGATTATGTACCAGACAGTTTGGCTTCCAAACAGTCTTTAATAAAAATAGGTATGTACTTTTCCTAGCAGGGCAGTAGGATGATTCAAAATAGACACACCTCAAAGTCACGATTGAGAATTTTTCTAAGCTCAAGGTTGAGAAGTGATTATTGGTCTACACGGGTCTTTTAAAAAATAATAATAGGTATCTAATTACAAATACCAAAACTCATCTAATTTATTAAAAAATTGTAACAGGAGATAAGATAGCTTCCATAAATGGAAAAGTAGTAACACATCAAAATTTCAATGCATTACTAGAAGCAATCAACATGCCAATGACTGTGAGTAATACCATTTTTATGTTCTTTATATCAGATTTTGTTACTTATTTTATAAAATCCCTCAACATTTTGGTAATTTAATTAAATTTTTTTTGTTATAGCTTTATTTGGGTGTCTGCACAAATCCTTTTGACAAAGCAAGCAGCACTGATAATAAATCAGACAGGGTAAATCTTGGAATAAGAACCATATTTACATGTAATGTAATTTTCAGTGTATGGAAACTTTTGGACAATGTTTAAATTTGCAGATTTCTTATCAAACACCTCTGGCTGCGAGAATAAGTGGACAGTTATCAAACCACGATGACTTGAAAAAACTTCTGTGTCAATCTTCTGTTGGAGTATTGTATTTGCAGCTTGATGGTATGACAGAAGGTGGTCCCGAAGACCAAGGAGTTTTGTACTGCTATCCTGGACGTTTTAAAAGCAATTTTCTGAGCTCCATCAGAGGAGCATTCCTCACTCTTTTCCAATTGATACCCGATATCTCACAATCACCACCTAGAAGGTAACACGGCTCTTCAGGATTCCCAAACTATGGAATGCCGTGCTATGCTAATGCCGTGCTTACCTTAATTTCCAGTTCTTCTATATTGGTCAAAGGACAGCTCGTTCATGTCATTTATGTTCAAGAAGGACGTGAACTGCTACTCATTGCACTTCCTGATTGCAGGTATGGTATAGTACTAATCTTTAAATTTGTTTGAAGTCATATTTAGTTAACTTTTTAATTGGTCGGTCTTTGCAGATGTTCTCTTGCTGAAGCAATGAAGCAATGCAGTGAACTTGTACAAATGCTACAGTTCACCCACCAAAGTCTCTCCCGGTAAGCTCTAAGGATTTTAATGGCATTTCTATAAGATCTTAGCTTATTTTTGATCTTCTGTTTGTCCAGTTGTTTCTCTTTACCAGAACATACCAAATTTGTTGACCATGTCATGTGCATTTTCTTCTCCCGCTTACTCTTTTCTGATAAATGGGCAGAAGTGACTGATGTTGATTCGTGTCGCAACATGACTATGATGATAGGACCAACCCTCCCTCAATTTGAATTAATACTACCAGCAGCGCACCTGGTTCCATTACCTCGAGAAGCTCAGGTCTGTTACTCACCTTTTTATCAGTTTACAACTGAGTGCAAACTTAATGGGACACAATAAAAAAATAATTTTTGATCCCCAGATGCAAATTGACGATGCTCTGAGTGAATTAGAATCAAATGATATTGGTGATTCAGTAAGTTATTTGAAATTGTATATTTGTTGTTTGATTTATAATGCTGAAATTAATTTTCTGTGTGTGTGTGTGTGGATACCATTTAGTGTGAAGACCTAGATTGCCAGAGGCTTTATACCATACTTGGAAGCTGCCTTTACCACAAGGTATTAGTAATAAGAGTTACAAGAGCAATTTAGTTTCCAAAAGTGATGTCTCATGTATCATAACTTTTATCTGTTTTTAGGGATATTTACTTGCATCCCATTTTCCACATTGTGATCTATTGGATGTTCATGTGTTTTGCCGCCAACAAGGTTTGCTTCAATTGAACCAAGGGGAGTCAGTCCACTCATTAGTTATCTGGAAGGAGGTTTATCCAAAGTCTGTGTCAAGAGGATTGACTTCTTCTACATCTGACTCTACTTACAATTTTCCAGAAGGTCGATGGTTTATTATGATTGTTGGTCAGGTAATGGTTCAAAGGCCCTGCAAATAATTAGTTGTTGAACTTGCTTTCCTAGCCTGTAAATCTTTTTTTTCTTTCTTACCCACTAAAATTTTTACACAAATATAGAAGCAAGATATGCTGGTCACACTGCTTGAGGCTGGTGGATGTAGTGCCAGGTGAATTGTCTTCCCTCTGTATTGTGTGCAGTGACTTTAACACAACATGAAAAAATTTAATTTCTCTTTTCTCAGTTTGGATGGTCACCATTCACCAGATGTATTTTATGTTGAGGCTGCCCAGGATACTTTACAGCACTTAAAAAAAACTGGAGTGTCAAGCATTGCATCAGAATGGTGAATAGATTTCCTTTTTTTCCTCCTCTTTCCTGTTGAGTTACTGAACCACTTGTACCTTTCCTTTTGTTTTAGGCTTGAAACACAATTGCGCCCAAAATTGATTTCTCCAGAAGTTGCCATTGCTTCCCGAAATTCTTCACGCAGAGTTAATAGCTTACTGGGACTCCGAGTTCATCATGACCCAATATGGCAGAGCAGTAAGTAATTGCATAGATAGATAGGAACCACTAATTAATCAATTATTGTTAAAATATTTTTTGCTTTTAAACTCTTTTTTCAAGGCTTTTCTTCTATATTAAATTCCCCATCAAATCGGAAGAGTACTGATTCATTATCTGCAGGAAAAAGGAGGCCAAGTCCTGATCATTCTAGTTCAGGTAATTAAAACAGTTGTTCTGATTGTAGTGTGAACTCATAGATATAAACTTACAACACCTTTAATCTAGGTCCCTTACATGGGGGTGAGACATCAGAAGATTCTGCAAGCCTTGTAGCTAGCTTACCTAGTGATGACACTGTCTTTGTGAACGTTAAAAGTCGGTCAGAGCGAGATCCCACTCATGTGTCCCATTCAGACCACGAAGCATCTGAAGACTCTGATTCTGATTGGGAGGCAAGCGATGTAAGTTCCCGAATAAGCATAGTGCACAAGAGGTAGCATGTTCCGGCATGTTCCCAATTAAATTAAATTTGACCTCATTAATTCTCCACAGATTCATGCAGGTCGACGACCCACAAGTACAACTGACTTGTCAGACTTGCACAACTCCCTTTTAAAAAATGTTGAAGGAACAGTACCATCTAAGTAAGATAATTGAAGTAAAATCTGCATATATCCAACACAATTAGAATCTAGTTCTCTTACTATCAATTTGCTCTTGGTTCTTTCAGATTATCAACTGGGCCTGAGAATATTGTTTTCCATTATGTTCACATTGACATAAATGAAGGTGTCATGCTAAGTCCAGTTCATTCCTCTTACTCAACAAATTTGATTGAAATTCTCTCAAAATTTCGTTCTACTGCGATGCAGATACATTCATTATTCCAGAACACTATTTCATTCAAGGTGAGCTCTTTGACTTTAAGTGATAAATTTCATATGGTTCAATTGTTCATGTTCTGTATTTTGAGTTTCAGAAGTTGAAAGGTGTGGAGGCAAGCCATTCATTGATTAATAAGTCACTGGTTGCAATCAAAGAATTTGGTGCATTATTTGAATGCAATTTGCCACTAAGAGGGAATGAGAAATCACCATCTTCTATGAACTTTTGGGTTGTCGGGTATGTCAAAATGCATTGTGCACTATCTGCAAGTAGAATTGAAATCCATTACTTTCATTACACTTTTCTTTTTCTTCTCTAGGCGGCTCTTCTTCATGCCTGCTTCACGGGAAGTTTATGTTTGCTATGAAGATTCTGCCCCTCAAAATCTTGTGGAGTTGGCATTTCGGCTAGCTTTAACAACGACAGGCTGAATTTTTATACATACATGTTCTCTGAATAAACTATATAGTTATATAATGAAATGAGATTTGAACTGATCTTTACATGATTAAATAGAATGTAACTAATATTGCTCAATGTAGTCATCAATATGTTTTTAATGTTAAAATTTCCAATTATAAAAGAATTTAGCTACTACTTTTGATGTTACAAATTTATGTAAACTTGCAATTTATCATCAAAATAGAAATTTATGATATTCATTTAACACTCAGTTTGAGTTTCTTTGGAGCTGTTCTCCCGTTTGATTCTCCTTCATCCTTTTGATGCAGCAGTTCGTATTCAGAGGGTTTCAGAGATGGATCAAGTCCATGCAGCTTCATTTGAACAGCAATATCAAACAAGTAGTCATAGCATTCCGTCCTGCAAAATAAGAAAAATCACATTGCCAAAATTTATTGGTATCAATTGAGACACACAGTTCTAGCAGTTTGAGAACACTTAACACTTACATTGTTTTTGCATGTTGCCAACTATTTCCCCAAACATAGACTCCATGCCTGCGAACTAAAATGGCAGTAGTTTCAGGGTATTCTTCCATGACCTCAGCCATGCGATCTTTAAGGTCTTCTTCAAACGGAGTATTTTCTATGATAGGTACAACAAGTTTCTCATCATATCTGTAATTCCGTCCAAGCTTCTGGTTCTGTATTCCCTTTAAAAAAATTTGCATAGTTAGATATTTTATATTACTTAGTAGGATTTTAGCTCTTAGTTTATTTAAATACCTTGATCATTTCCTGGTGGGTGATGAAAAATTCTTTACCAGGATAGAGCAGGGTGGCCATAACAGCTGCTTTAGAGTGAGTGTGTATCACAGCTCCTGCTCCCCTTTCTGTAAAGAAACAAAAGAATCAGTAAAAGCCTGAATAATCATAAAATAAGTGACACAGTGTGTCATACATACTAGTGTAAGCACACATAAAGAGGGGAGTGCACTGGCTCTTCTTCAGCCTCTTCTCAGCAGGTGGAAGTTGAATATCAGTTCCATTGATGTCTTGCACAAACAATTCATCAGGGACGATTCGTTCTTTCTGGACTCCTGATGGGGCGATATAAATTTCATCTCTACAAGCAAAATACATCAAGAAAGTTAACAAAGTAACAGAAAAACAAGCACATGAAAAATTAACGATAAAACACTTACCCCTCTTTAATACTAATGCCACCCCCAGTGCCAGTAACCCAACCCAAATCGTAGAATAGACGAGACAGTTCAGGAATGAGATTCCGGGGATGTTCCTGAAATCCACACAACACCAGTGGTCAGGAGTTACATATTCCATAAAATGTTATGTTCAGTCAAACTAAGAGAAAGCTGGAAGAGCCCAAGGTAAGAAATCGAGGTTTTTAACCTTCTTCCAAGGCACAACACTAAAAGAAATTTAAGGGAAATTATTTCAGCCTACTCACATTTCCAAAATTGGCGTCTCTGAAGGACATACTGCGACGTTGAGAAGGGAGGAATAAAGGAATGAAGTCGTGGAATCTGAGAAAACCAAGCGTATTCGGTGAAATCTGTGAACTGCACAAAGCGGCCGGATCAGCTGAGCGCTGTGCTGTCTGCTTGTTTACGTTTGTATTTTTTGTTGTTGTTTTTTTAGGACGCCCACCGCCTTCCCGTATTTGGCAGCTGCAGCGACCGCGTTGGCGCCAAATCCAACACTAGCGGGCAGAGGGAAGGCAAGAGAAACCCAGAGAAACCCGAGAAATCCAGGAGAAGCGTGCTTGCCACGAGACAATTCGTCAAATTTCGATCGGGTGGACATACAACCAGTCGAAATACTCCCACGGGCTGGAATGCATGTTGTGGCGAAAGGCGCGCGATCCCTTGCTGTCCAATATGGCTCCAGAAGTCGCCCGATGGCGAGCTCTGCGCGACTGCAGAGCAGCAAAATGAAGGTAGCCTACTTAGTGCAAATCAGTTATTCCTCGTGAGACTCGTGTGGGCCTTGGTGTACTTCCCCCTGAGCAGGTGGCGGTGCTGGGCGCGTCGGGCGACCTGGGCCCGCCCCTGGCGCTCCTGCTGCACCAGTCCCCGCAGCTGGACGAGCTGGCCCTGGTGGACGCCTCCCCCGACTGCGGCGCCCTGGCCGACGAACTGAACGCCCTGGACAACCGCGCCGACGTCGTGCCCTACCACCCCGACCGAACCGCGCGCGCGCTGCAGGGCGCCAGCGTGGTGCTCATGGCCGACAACGCCCTCCGCGTGGCCGGCCAGGCGCGGCGGGCGCGCATCGCCGAGCACGCCGAGAAGGCCGCCACCACGGCCAGGCTCATAGGACAGCACTGCCCTCAGGTATGGCTGCTTACCCTCTATGCTTTTTGCTATTGCTCAATACCTGCTAGAGTCGGGGACATTGTGGCATGTTCTCCGAACCAAGGATGATGGCATAAGGAGGAAGACATGGCAGCCAACAGTTTGTGTTTTTTGGATTTTTAATTTCTAATTAGTAACTAGGTTAAAATTTGAATCATTCTGGAATTTTGACAGCTGCAAGTTCTCTTCGCACTTCCTTATTTGTTTTCGGCATGTGCACATTCAAGCAATCATCTATGCAACGGGTGACACAGCTTTGAAATTCTCTTGAGAAATTGATGTCCTGCAAAACAGTTAAAGTGAAACAGTTAATAAATGATCCCAAATTGTGTGGAAAGATGTGTTGGCAGTACTTACTTGTGACTCGTTAAATTTAGACCCCATTCTATCTTTTTCTTGGTCAAGACATTGAAGCCCACATCGATTTGTTCGTTCCTGGTAAAAATATATAACTGATACAACAGTGTACAGAAATAAAAAATATTGAATACAAGACCTCATAGCAAATGACGACTTACCACTACACCACTGTACTCCCTGTTCACAAAATTAATGAATCGTGCAACAGGCAAAGAGCAGTTATTTCCACAGTTCTCGAGTTGATCATCTGGAATTCGTTCATTTTCGTAGCAGCTGGCCTGGCAACGAAATTCCTGGGCCTGTAACATAATTGTATATAAGTAACTATTGCACACATAAAACAAACATCTATGGCGATAAGTGATGCAAGGATAGAAGTTGTTAGTGAAAGGCTACTGAGCATGAAATACGCAAAGAAATCAACGCTAAGACCAATAAATGACCTAATCTTTTGAGTGTGGCTTGCGTTCAGAGACGACACTCTGTGAAATTGATTATAAATTGTTTCCGAGATCTGGACTTTGAAACATAACCTAAGAGAATGATGTAATTTCGCCATAAATCTTATCCTAATGAGACAAACCTTCAGTTTTCGTAGTTCCTTCCCGCTTTTAAGCTGTTCGAACGTCTGCTCCAATGCTTTGATAACGCGATCCTGCTGCTGGTTTATGAGATCCATGGTTAAAATGTGGTGAAGACACGAGATCGACGGTGACCGGTGCAGAAGAAAAGTAAGGGAGGGGAGGGGCAGGCGGAAAGGGGTGAGGGGGATCCTATTTGCAGTAGCGACTGTGTTTACTGACACGAACAGCTATTCGCCCTCAAAAGACTGCCAGGCTGAAGTAGGCAACCCTTTCGACGCCTTTGAAATCTCCTCTTGAATATTTAAACTTGAGGGGCTAGGCCCAGCTACACCACATGACCACCTCTACACGCTGCAGGCCCTGGTGCTGGTGCTGACGGCCCCCGTGTCGGGCGTGGTGCCGGTGGTGGTGGAGGCAGCGCGGCGCGCGGGGGTGCTGCACCCTGAGCGCCGCGTGTTGGGGGTGGCCGCGACGGCCAAGGCTCGCGCCGCCGCCATGGTGGGCGCCTTGCTGGACGAGGACCCGTTCCACATCGACGTGCCCGTCACCGGCGGCACCTCGTCGTCAGCAAGCGTCCCCATCCTGAGCCAAGTTCGCGTCCAGAACGCCCTCACCAAGGTAACAGCCCGGCCCTTGCCCGGGCCTGGGCCGCGCGGGTTCGGGTTCGACCCCCGCTGGCAGTAACGGGAAGCCTCCCCGGGTCCGGGCTGTCCGAGCAGCTGGAGGCGGGCGCGGTGGTGTCCGCGGTGCAGTCCGCGGGTTCGCGGCTCGCCCGCCTCCGCAACGAGTCGTCCCTGCCCGCCCTGGGCGTGGCCTTCGCGGCGGCGCGCTTCACGGACAACGTCGTCAACGCCGTGCTCGGCGAGAGGGGCGTCCGGGAGCACGCCTTCGTGGCGTGCGGCGTCGTGCCCGGGGTAGGTGGTGGACGTCACCCGCAAAGGGCGCGGCGCCGGAACGCTGCTAAGGGCACCTGACGCAGATGACGTACATGACGGCGCCCGTGGAGCTGCTCTGCGGTCTCGGTGGCGCTCGCGCGTTGCCGCTGGGGCCGATGACGGCCACGGAGAGCGCGCTGCTCCGGGCTGCGGCCCGCCTCGTGCAGCGTGACCTGGACGTGGCGGAGGCCGTCGTGCAGACCATCTTCGGGCCAGAGAAGCCACCCGGCCCGTCTACGCCGCCCCCCAGGTGCGTCGCAGTCACAGTAAAGGCAGCTCGATGAGACGAAAGCCTTTCTTCCCAACATCGCTTCCCTGTGGCCTTTTTGCGCAGAGCGTCGCCGGACCTGCCCAAGGAGCTTCCCGCCGGCCAGTGCCCCAGTTGGCTGTCGCAGGAGGGCTGCATGTAGGCACGTCACGACAGGACCCCTTTAGGATTAAAACTCAGACCGGGTGGCAGGCCCTCATTTCTTTCCTTGTCATCAATGTACTACTCTCAAGCGCCCCACTCCCGCCCTTTCGCTGGCCTACATATTTTCGCCGTTCTGTTCAGAAGCGAGATAAGATGGATACCCCCGAGTGGTTGTCTGAGTCCGACCTGGCAGACCTGGCCCGCCCCTACCGGCTGATTCCGGGCGGGAGGTCCTGACGGCCTGTCTCTCTCGCACCCACTGGACGCTCCCATTGTGCGAGAGAGAGAGAGACCTCTCGCCCGGGATCAGCGTGCTGCGCCGACGCTTGAGCTCGAGCTGGGCTAGCGGTGATTTACTGAACACTCGAACTGCCCGACTGGAAGACTGGGAGAGCCCACAGCCCGAGCGGCAAAAGCAGCGAGGCGAGGCCTGCAGCAGCTGCAGCACTTAGCGTCCGTGGCTCTAGCCGTGGCCTGGCCCAGGATTGCTTTGCGTTCAGCGAGTCCGAACCCAGTGACCTGAAAATGTGAAAGATTGCCTGAGCGACTCCGTCCCCGTCCTCCCTCCGCCCCGCAGCAGCAGCAACAGCATTAGCAGCATGCTAGCGGCATGCTAGCACCCTCCGGCCACCCCGGCCCGGCCACCCCTTGGCGCCGGGTCACGACACGAACGGCCACACGCAGGGCTGCAGCGCTTTCGTCGCTCTGTCTCTCTCGCACTCGCGGGGCGGGCTGCAAGGGTGCGAGAGGGACAGAGCGGCGGCATGCCGACCAGAGAAACTAGTGGCGCGACACGGGACGCGGCCAGCAGCCGTCAATAGCAATAGCAAACACATAGCACCTTTCGCGTCTGAAACAAGGAAGCACGGCGGTCCGCCGCACACCGGCGCCGAATGGGTTGCCTATCTGCACCGCGCTGGCGCTGCCTAGCTTCGCCCAGTTCAATTGGGTCTCCATGACGACCAGGGCGACTCTTCGCCACGTCACCTTTACGAACGCGGCTTAATAAATGAGCCCCAGTTAAATTACGGCCACGCCGTGCCTGCCGCGGCGCGCGAGGCGCCGGGCTGCGCGGGGCCGCGCCGGGCGAGGACATGCCGTTTGATGTGATCGTGACTGGACCCCGGGCCGCGACCTGGGGCTGGGGCTGCATGGCGCGCCGCAGCATGCCGTGGCGGTGGCGTCCGCGGCCGCGAAGGGCTGCTGGATGGATGGGCAAAGCCGGGCACGGCCGGGCAGAGCCGGGCAGACCTCACCGCGGCCTCGTTTGCAGGCCATCCTGTAATAAAACGACTCGCGCCTATCTTATCCCCAAGTCGCTACTTGGCTTGGCTTTTCGGAGCAAAGCAGCAGAGCAGCAGCTGTCTAAGCTGCCCAGGTCCAGGAGGCTCATTCCGAGAGTCGCTCCGTCTCTCTCGCACCTATAGGGGACGCCCCTTGAGTGCGAGAGAGACAGAGCGACTGCAGGGAAAAGAGGGGCAAGCAGTACGGCACGGCGCGCGGCGCAGCGGGGCCGTCCCGTCCGGACCGCCGTCGGGAGAGTGCTCTCCGAGACCCCAGTCCCACGAGGGCCGCGCCGACCGCGGGGACCACTAGGCGGTCCCGATCCGTCCCCATTTATTGACAGAGGCTAATGGGCGTCTCGCAAAAACCGTTGCAGAGATAAAAATCGAATGAAAATCTGCGCGTTATTAATGACGGCGCAATCATGAGTGGGGGTTACTTTAAAATCTCGGCATACCCTGTGTGTGTGTGCCTGGATGCTAGTGGTGGTGTGTGAGTGGTGGTGGCGGTGTGTGTGTGTGTGCGGCCGGTCGACATAACACATATCGTTGAATAGTTGGCAAGCGGCTTGGGAACGGCTCGGGCCGCAGTGCCGCGGTGCCGCGATGCTGCCTCTACAGGTTGGCAGAGGCTAGCTGTGCGGCTGTGCGGCTGTGCGATATCAGATGATCCGATCGGCCAACAGGAAGGGCCTGTTGCTGTTGCGCCATGCCTGTCCATTTGCTAACTGCAGCAAGGCCGTTGGCCCTGGCCACCCTGGGGACCTTGGCCGGCGAGGCCTCGGCTCGGCTAGCCCCGACCCCTCCGCGGGGACGACGCCCAGGACGACGACGCCGAGAACGACGACGCCGAGAACGACGACGCCGAGAACGACGACGCCGAGAACGACGACGCCGAGAACGACGACGCCGAGAACGACGACGCCGAGAACGACGACGCCGAGAACGACGACGCCGAGAACGACGACGCCGAGGACGACGACGCCGAGGACGACGCCCGCACAGGAGCAGGGCAGGCAAGCGGCATTGCAAGCAGATTGTGTTGCTTGCGTCGTGTTCGCGTCGAGAATGCTGCTGCCCGCTGCCTCTACACGCCCAGGCCGATGGCAGGCCGTGCCCAGGCTATGGCTGCGCCGCTGCACCGCGGCTGGAATGTTTCAGTTTCCGTGAATCTCCTCTTCTACCTTCTACTCCGCCCTCTCTCTATCGGCGGGGACGCCACACTCGCGGCGAATGCTGCGGGATGCTGGCATTGCAGCCGACGGCCCACGCCGGCCTCGCCAGCCCTGCCAGCCCTGCCAGCCGCAGGCAATGGGCTGCGTTTTCGCGACACACGGACCACCGCTGACGGGGCCCCGGCCCTGCCCCGGCGTCGTCGCAGCATCGCCCCGGTGCCGGTGGTCCCGGTGGTCCACCAGCGCGGTGGTCGGCACGCCATGCCGCTGCACCACCGTTAGGACTGCGTGTGGTGTGTCCGGGACTCGAAAATGGGAGGCGGACATGAAATGACGGTGCCGCCCCGTCACAGGTCGCAGGTGCGCGTCACGGCAAGGCAGGCAAGGTCCGCGACCACGTGACGGGCACTGCATTGCTGCGGCTTGGCCGGGGGCTTGGGTAATCGCAAGCTGGATGCTGGATTCTCTGCGGGCTCATTCCGAAAATCACTTTTGCCGCTCGGTCTTTCTCGCACTCTCGGGGCCTCTCGTAGGCGCGCAATGAAGACAGAGCGATGCAGCACTGTTCGGCATCAGACTGACTGATCCGCCGAACGCGCGGGGGGGCATTGTCGAATAACCAGCTGCTGCTGCTGGCTCGGCTCAGCTCGGCGAGCTGCTCGAGTGCCTCATTCCTGTCAGTCATTATCGCGGCAGCATTGCGTTGCAGCCGAGTCCCCGCCGCTCTGCCCCGCACGCTGTTCGCACCAGAGGCCGTCCCGAACCGCGCCCGCCGTCTGCGAGGCCCCCAAGGTCCCCAAGGCCAGGGACAGGGGTTCGCGCGCGCGGCCTCGCGGCCTCGCGGGCCTTGGACGTGACACGCTTCTCACTCATCACCATGCTGCCCCCAATTGGCCCAATGTAGCCGAGTACCCCGGGCCCTGGACCGTACATGGCGGCCGTGGCGCCTAACACAATCATAAACCGCTTCGCCAACGCTTTCGCCGCGCGCGCCGTGTCGCGATGCGTCGCGATGCGTCGCTGGCGCTGGCCGCCCAGACGAGGACCAATCTCCCGTCGGTGTCCGGGCGGCGCAGGGCGGCGCTGCCTCCAGGTCCACGCCGCGACCAGGCTCGTGGAGTCTTCGTCGTGGACTCGCGAGTCCACGGGGCGCGGCGCGGATGCACTCCGAAAAAAACACTTCTCGAAACAGGAACATTTACTTCGGATGAGCGAAATTTAATGGTGAAGTAAATTATTCTTGTTCCAAGTAAATTTTCTTGTTGGGGGAAATGTTTTATTTTTCGGAGTGTGGGGCGCGGCGGTTGTTTCTGGTCGAGGACGCCGAGGAGACGCCGCGGGGACGCGACAGGCTGGCGAATCTTGGTGGCGCCAATGCGCTGCCGCCTCGCGCGCTTCGCGCCGTCGCGGCGATTTAGATGACGTGGTCGCGACGCCGGGGCGGGGCGGGGCGGGGCGGGCGTGGCGCGGAGGCGATATTGTCATGCATGCCGCCAATGAGCCTAGCCTTGGCAACAATCACCGCGCTGCCCGTCGTCGTCGTCGTCGTGTGTGTGGTCCTCGCCGTGGCGCCGCGCCCGCCACGCCCGCCACGCCCCCCAATGCGGGCGCACGTGCCTCGGCGCCGCCGGGCTGCCTACCCACTCGGCGCCGCCGCCGGGCTGGCGATCGCGGAGCGTGACCCGGGTGCACGCCGACGACGCCGCCGGCCGTTGGGACGCGGAACCAAGAACAAGGCCCTGACGGAGGGAACACAACACGGCGGGGATGTCCTTAGTCCTTGCATTTCCTCACATCCGCACTGTTCGATTCGGGTCGGGCTTCGCGGCTTCGCGCTGCAGAGGGCCGTGCCCCGTGCCCCGGCGCCTCGCTTGCCCCGGCCCCACGGCCTGCTTTGGCTCACTGTGCGCTGCTGCTGCTGCTGCTGCTCGGCGTGCACGATTGTGCTCGGAAGTAGTGTAGGGACGGCGCGGCGTGTCGCCCGGGCGCGTGCTCGCGTGCTTGGCCCCTGTTTTACGTAACCCTCACACCAAATAAGACATGCAGGCCGTGAGCACGTAGCACGTCCCTAGTGTATGTAACGTTGTGGTGTCACTTTATTCGAGCCGATGTTGTCCCGTTCAGAAACAAACAGTCGGGTCGGCCGAGGCCCCCCCCCTCCCCCCGCCA